GAGAATCATGCCCTGTGACCTGTAAATATATTATATTATATGACATGGTACTTTACAGATGTGATTAAATTAAGGATGCTGAGATGGGGACAGTATCCTGGGTTATCCAGATGGGCCCACTATAATGCAAGGGGTCCTTATAAGAGAGAGATGAGAGAATCAGTCGGAAAAGGAGATGTGACTATGAAAGCAGAAATGATGAAGATGCTGTGATACTGGTCTTGTACATGAAAGAAGGGGCCATAAACCAAGGAATGCAGGTGGTCTCTAGAAGCTGGGACAGGCAAGCAAAGGGGTTATTTTCTACGGACTTCAGAAGGAAAGCAGGCCCAGCCAACACCTTGATTTTAGGACTTCTGAATTCCAAAACTGAGAGATAATAAATTTGTGGTGTTTTATGGAGCCATGTTTGTGGTCGTTTGTTACAGCAGTAATAGGAAACGCCTATACTTGCTGAAGGTAGAGTGAAGATTCAGACCCACACAGACTAGTTGTCTTAGCTACTAGGCTAAACTAGAATATCCACTATGAAAAGTGGCTGAGAAGGAGCTAGACTAAGAGGAAGTGAACATGTCAGAACGACTTGCTACTTGTTACTAGAAAATTAGAGTTCATGCTCACCCCATGGTAAGAAAGGCTATGACAGGCTTAATTATCAACATTGATAATATTATTATTAATATTGCTAATAATATTATTGATATTTATAATAATCCAATCACTAAAATATAACCTCAATTAATAAGCATACTAATGAACAAATTTACAATTAAAAAATCATTCTTCCTTCTGATCAAGTAACACATTTCCTCCTATGTCTTTGGACAGTAAATCTTTTATTGTTTTCAACTTTCTTAACTTATGATTTCCAAGTTTTCCTATAGTCAGTTTTCTAATACCTTTGCTTTTCCTATTTATACAATTCAACTGAATACGAAAGATCCTTTTTCCAAAAGTGCTTGACAAAAGATAGGAAGAAATGTGATACTGACTCAATTTAAGTATCAGTATTACTTTGGATTCTTAAGTTAGTGTTTCTAAACAAATAAATATTGAGTTGGATTAATCTCATTAATGGTATATACTCGTATTAGGTCTTTGATAGGTTAGTTTCAATATAAAGAACTATTGTTATAAATCATCTGCTTTTTCTTTTGTTGGAATGTTTGCGTTGATGGTGCTCTTTTGAGTTCAAAAATCTAAGAATCTTTGTGGAATAGTGAAAGTAAATTCACCCTCACCGTTACTGGTGATGGCTAAGACTTGAAATGTTGCTTCCCCAGTCAATGATGTGGAGCCCAAGTATTCTTTTCAAGTTAGTAGTGTTAAAATAATAATTTTCGGTAATGTGAAAACATGACTCTCATTCAAATATAGAACAAACACATATCAAAGATGCATTTGATTCATTAAAGAAGGAATCAGAAGAATAAGAAAGCTAGTTCAAAGGAAATTCAAGAGACTGAGTGTATATAGAAATCCCAGAAAGAATGGTGGATTGCTACCATTATTTGGTTAAGTACACAAATGGTTTTAATGCCCAACAGGACAATAAAACCATGGCCTTTGGGGATATATTTTGTACCAGACAGAAATCATTTGCATCTCTACTGGGAAAAAACCCTACAAATTAATATGTAACTCTGGTCCTAATCTGTAATAAATAGTAAATTGAGACGTTTATTACTTCACCTAGAATTAAATAATCTCTAAACGAGCCTGTAGAAAATAGTCAGTGTGACGTTGAAAGAATGAGAAATTATGCCTTTGATTTATTCCCAACTTTTCCACCTTTTTTTAACAGTGATAAGATCACTTTCAAGAGATACTATATACTTCTCTCTCCCGCCAGCACCCTAGGAGTGCTAGATGCTGATGATACATTGAATTTAGATGCTCTCTCTGTCTCTCTCTCTCTCAAAAGATTAGTTATTTTGGATAGTGCCAGATTTTTATATCTTTAACCTATGTATCATAACTCAGTGTTTTTTAGTTATTGTTTAAAATTGTATGCTTTTTATGTATCAGATATGTTGTGTAAACGGCTATTTATAACAGTGGCTTATATTAGGCCTATTAAAAGTGAGTTTTCTGTCTAGAGTAATACTGTTAAGAATCATCCTGAATTTTTTCGTTTATGAGACTCTTGTATGTATATTGCATGTATGTATCTTGAAGTTTTCGTGTACTGCATTGTGCTCACATTCTGAATCATATTTAGCTTTTTTTTTTCCTGAAAGGTGTTGTTCACATGCACGTGAAACCCGTGATGTGATTGTAGCCAGTTCGTTGATCCCCCTACTTCACTTCTTTCTTGCTTTCAGGCCCCTTTTTTCTGGGAGAGCCCCCCTCACTCCTACGTCCTCCTTCTGAGAGCTAAATTACTGACTGTCCTTGTAGTTTCTCAGCAATTCTTGGAGCTTCCTTTCAGGACAGCGAAGGAGAGAATGTGTTGAGAGAGTGAGTAGGCCTCTTGGAGTTCAATGTTCTAAGAGTAATGCTAGTTTATGGGGACAAGTACAGGACTTGAAGATCATGGAGTATAGGGAGATAATTGATTACAATCTGCTTGGGCCTCAGGTTTCCAGACCTGAGAACTAAGTTTGCCCAACTACCTTAACTAAATGACCTCAGTCTTCTGTTAATCTTGGTCAGAAGGCCTTTTATTGTCTGTAATGGTTTTATGAATTTATTTGTTCACTTGCTAATTCTTGTCCATCTTCACTGACTGTAAACTTCATGAGGGCAGGGAGCACATTGGTGTTAATCAGTCTTTTTAGCTCAGCATCTAGCACAGTCTCTTAACATGATGGGCTAAGTAAATATTTGTTGAATGGATGTATCAAATTACGTAGCGTTATCCCTGTGAAGTAGGAAGAAAATAGGTGAGAGTGAGAGAAAATGACAAGTGGCTTCAGTTTAAGAGCTGAAACAATATACTATTGCTTTAGGCATCAATTTTCTGCTACGTTTTCACTATCCCATTTCGCTGATAGAAAGATTCCGGGCACAAAGCTTTAGGTGCTGTGAAAAGTTAATATGACCATTATAATGTAACAGTAACAATAGTGAAGGAGAAGAAAAAAGAAATAGTAGGCTAAAATAACACAGGCTAAACTTTTACTAGAAAAAAATCTCTTGGTAGCTAATTCCAAAAATAGACTTTATCTAAAATAAAATCATTATTAAAATGGTTGCCTTTAAGCAATACATTAACTCAGAGGTAACTGCATTGCTCCAAATGTGTCAGCATTTAAAGCCTGTCTTATTGGAATTTTTCTTAATTTATTGTAATCTAGTAATCATAGAACATGTTATTTGTATTTGACACAGAGTTATGTTTTTGCCATGCACATCCATTCAGCTATATAACAAGGAATAATTGTTCGGTTAACATTATTCTTTCTACAGAATGCAGTGTTGATTCACGCGCACTTGGTGAATGAATTCTTTATAAGCAACATTAACAAGACGTGGAAAAAAATCAAACCTATGAATTTTCAAAAGATAGCTGCATAAAATAGTTGAAAAAAATTTTGGGGGTGGTGACTATAAATGGTTCACATTAAATGTGATGGATAATCTGAATGAAATCGTATTTGGGCCTACAAGTAGCTGTAATAATTTTGTCAAATGAAACAAGATGAGTAAACTGTAATGTCATTTTGTTGACTGGGGGAAGTCAGCCAACCAGTTGAAAAATAGCTTCCTGTTTTATTGGGTTTCCCTAACCTCTTCATTTTTTACATAAATGTACTCTCAAGGGTAATTGCCTTTCTCCCCCCCTTTTTTAATCTTTGACTTGTGAAATGTAAAAACCACTGCCAGGCTTTCTGAGTATTATCAGTTCTTTTTTGTGTCTCTTGTTCAGGGTGCAACCGACTTTGACAGATGTACTGTTATGTTACTGGTATAACATGACATCTTTTTTCAGATGAACTGAATAGAAGTGATCTTGACAATGAGTAGATAAGACACTGTCAGAAAGATGAAAAACATGTCAATGTCACAGTTATGACATAAATGCAACAGAACAGCCCTTATAATATCAATAAGGGAACGCCTTTTCAACAACGCCCTTGAGAAGACAGAAAATAACACTGCTCTTAAATACTATTACTTAGCCACAAAAATAATAGAATAAAACAAACAGAAAGGTCAGTTTATTATTTATTGGAGGTGGCATTTGATGAGTCTGAAGTATGTGATGTATTTGTATATGTGTCTCTTTTATATATGGCACGTATGAAAGAATTTCAAAACCACTCTTTCAGGAGCTAAGAAACCGTTTAACTTCGCCATTTCAAGAACATCCTTAGGGGCCGGCCCCGTGGCCGAGTGGTTAAGTTCATGGGCTCCGCTTGGGCGGCCCAGGGTTCGGATTCTGGGCGCAGACATGGCACCGCTCATCAGGCCATGTTGAGGCGGCGTCCCATGTGCCACAACTAGAAGGACCACAACTAAAATATACAACTATATACTGGGGGGATTTGGGGAGAAAAAGCAGAAAAAAAAAAAGATTGGCAACAGTTGTCAGCTCAGGTGCCAATCTTTAAAACAAAAAAGATTGGCAACAACTGTTAACTCAGGTGCCAATCTTAGGGGGAAAAAAAAAGAACATCATTAAAAAATATTGATTGTGAAATATGAAAAGTGGTTTTATGGATATTGATTATAACCATTTTCCTTTTTTTTTCTTTCATGGAATGAGAAGAAACAGCCTTTCGTAATTTAAGAGAAAATTAGGAATACATTTTAAAATGTATTAACAGACCGTGAGTTTTGTAGATAGGTTGGTAAAGACTAAAATGGAATCCATCCCATGTATCAGTAGAGAATTAGGTGTTTGGTGGTTGCCTTTTCTCTTATTATGATGGGCCTGGAGCTGGACTATACATGTATGTGTGTACGTATAATGCTCTCCTTCTATATATCCATTTAAATGCTTTAATGAAAAGCATATTTATTTTTAGAATGACTTTTAATATCTTTGTCTCCAGGATCAGAGGTGGTTGATCTTGATGGAAAAAGTTCCCTTCTCTACAGATTTGATCAAAAATCCTTGAGCCCAATGAAGGATATTATTTCTTTGAAATTTAAAACCATGCAGAGTGATGGGGTTCTACTCCACCAGGAAGGGCAAAATGGAGATCACATCACGTTGGAATTGAAAAGAGGAAAGCTCTTTTTACTTATTAATTCAGGTAAAACTATTTGGTGAAGTGCTTGAAAAATCTAGTCATGTAGATATCATTTCAGTAACTTGATACTTTTATGGCTTATCTTATAAAAATGAAGGTTCCTTATTCCCAGATTTAAAGGCTTGTATGTATGCCAATATTGCACTTTCATGTAAAAATGGTTCATAATTTGCAAACTGTACAAGACCCTCATTCAGTGTTCCTTACAGCATACTGGTAGAACTACATAGCTACTTTCGGACATCATGAAGAAAGGGATGCATCATTGAAAAATATTGAGGTAGTAAAAGTAATGAGGTTGTAGCATAGATAAAATTTACATTGAAAAGGAGCATGTGATGGGTGATACTAATAAAAGGAATTAACAGTGGGAGAAATTACAACAAGGTCGAGAGGATATTATATTCAAACTTCAGGTAAATCCATACTAATGTTTTGGATGGAATGCGTGGAAGGAGATTGCAATTATTATGGGAGACGCAGGTCCACAAAAGGGAAACTTTGTGTTTTAGACTGGGAATAATGATGCTGTTATTTTTTTCTCTTCTAAGGTGAAGCGAAACTGCCCTCCACTCACTCCCTGATCAATCTCACCCTGGGCAGCCTGCTGGATGACCAGCATTGGCATTCTGTGCTCGTCCAGCGCCTGGGCAAGCAGGTCAACTTCACCGTGGACGAGCACAGGCACCGTTTCCACGCCCAGGGAGAATTCAATTACCTGGATCTTGATTATGAGGTGTGATGGTTATGTTTCAATTCATACAGATTTTGTGATGTATGTGTGGCGTTGCCATGCCAAAGAAAATCCACTGTAGAAAACCTCCCTTTCAGAGTACGTCAAAGTCCTGAGGAAGTGCATCCCAGGGTGACCTAACTCCCAGTAACAGATTTGGGAATGTACTACTGAGACTTCGTCTTGCTCACAATATGTTTATTTATCATTATAGAGAGAGATGATCTCTTTTACCTGCAATGTGTAGTCACAGAACGTCACATGTAGGAAATCTCTGTGGGAGATCTCATCACCACAAGTACATACAGAATGTGTTACATGATTTTTCTGTCCTATAGAGCATTCCTGAGCAGTGTAGATTTAGGGAGAGGATGTAGAATGAATAGATTAATTAATTCATTAACAATCGATTCAAAGGCACAAATACCAGTGCGTGCTAGAAATGTATAAAAAATAAAATGTCATTATAATTGGCTATATTATTAAACACAGGTTTCCCATGGATAGAGATGCATTTTTATTCACCAACCAATAAATATCAAATCCAGTGTGATTAGCAACTTGTAAGAATAATCAAGCTCTAGTGTAAATAAAAACTGAATGCTTATATATTTGTTTTAAAATCTGCATCTTAATTTTTTTTTAAATGTTCATTTGAAATCAACAATATGGCAATGTAGGCTGATGAAAAATTGATCTATCGTGATTACAGCTATAGTTGCTAATCATAATTATTTAAGCAGATTATCAGAAAATCACTAAACAATATTATTGATGCCATTTTTCTTTCTAAGATCAGCTTTGGAGGGATTCCAGCACCTGGAAAATCAGTGTCATTCCCCCATAAAAATTTTCATGGTTGTTTAGAAAATCTCTATTATAATGGAGTGGATATCATTGATTTGGCCAAGCGACAAAAACCACAGATCATTGCTAAGGTAAGAGAGTCTTCACGTGAATGAATGAGTAAAACTGTGTGGCTTTTCCACACAATGAAATTGCTCCATTTTGGATTCTCATTTGATATGATATTTTAGAGGTTATCCTTATTCTTTTACACTTTTCTCTGCTGGGCAGCATCCACATAAGGGGTTAATTCTTCTAAAGGAGTTATAATTCACGAGGCATGATTATTTTAGTTTTCTATGAAGTAAAGTGGTTTTTTTTACAGCTGCTAATTTAATTTTATTGTGATATTATTACTCCTAGGAGACTAATTTCCTTTGCTCTGTAATTTCCTTAATAAGCTGTTCCCTGACAAACTCTCTAAACAAGCATACCGAGTTCCCGGAATCGGATAACATCCATGTATATTAGAGAGGCATTTGAAAAACTTGTATTTTGCCATGGTCATTCATAACAAATGAAAGAAACTAATAGTCTTTTACAACATTGCCTCTGCCAATCTGTCCCAGTAGCAGTGTTGGTCAGGCTGTGTTATATTCTAATTCTGTGGAAATGAGGCAGAATTTAAATATAACTGTATTAGTCAGGGTTCGGTCAGGGAAGCAGCCTCATTATGGCTTTATGAACAAGGGATCTGTTTTAGCACTTGCATCTTAACAATTGTCAGAGATGCTGGCGAGTCAAGCCAGCTGTCAGGAAGAAGAGAGGGAGCAGAGTGAAGGAGAGGCAGGACAAGCCAGAACAACCCAGCTCCTCTGTGATCACCCTTCACTCTTCTTGATCACATACACAAAACCTTTGGAGGAAAATGGCCGGCGTTTCACTTCTGACTCAAATATCAGCACGTCGCTCTTTTGGTTAACTTTTAATCAGAACCAGACAAAAAAGGAGATTCTAGGAAACCTCGTTTCCAGCTTAACCAGTTTGATGATCGAAAAATAGCCGCGGATATCCATTTGGATACATTTCTGTAATTGTTCAAAATTCAAAATACGTAAAGTTAAGCTCATGTTGTCAGCAAATCCTGTAGCACATCATGGGGATATTTGTTGTTTACAAAATATTTTATTCCTAATTCTCTGTGGGAATTGATAGCGTTTGTATGACTATACCATCCAGCGAGATTTTTAGTTATTGTTTTATAAAAGGGAAAATGATTTAAAGATAAAATAAAATTACAGATAGACGTGTGTGTTTCATTGGCAAAATGAATTTCCAGAAACTGCTCAGGCAACTAACACTCACTCTTTTTTGGCAAGAGGACTTGCGGCTTGTAGGGCAGTAGGTAGCTGTCCAAATGAAGCCTGAGACCAGACTGCAGCTGGTAAAGTGTTTCCACTTTTCCTGGGTTTGTCAGTCATATGAATGCCTTTGCATTACAAGTCATGCAGTTCACTCTCTCACTTTTGTTATTTCATTCATCAGGGCAAGATATTTGTCCACAAGGAAAGCTAGTTCACTTTTCACAGAATCACGATAGAGCCAAATGTTTTTGCTTAATCAAGACCAAATGGTTTAATTCCAAAGTGTATTCTTCTAAGTAAAGTTGATTTCATTGACCTCTCAAATCTACATTTGGAAATTTTGTTAAAGGTTATTTTCAGGAGAAATGAAAACATTTACCTTTATTTCTGAAGCATGTTAAGGAACATGCTTAATTATTTCTAAATAATTCAGACTTTAAGTTATTTTAAATCTTTAAATATATATTTTACTCTAATAGCAAAGTACTTTTTACATACAGCATTTTAATGGAAATTTATGGAATTCTAATGTGTCTTGAAGATCTATTTTAAAACCATTAGATGAGAAATAATACATGTAAATCTGATGACAAGTACATGATAAGAAAAAGACAAAAATGGTTAAAAAAAAAAAGAATATAAGGAGAACATTGTAAATTGTAGCGTCCGGTGTAAAACCTTAAAAAAGAAAGGAAAAATGAAAAATAGGCAAAGGATATGAACGACCATTCTGAGGAAGGCAAGTCCAAAAGAACAGCAAACTCATGCAAAATGCTCAGATTCACTGTTAGTGAGGTAAATGCCAGATAAATAAGAATGTTATATCACTTTCGCATTTTGTCATTGAACGTGTGCAAATTTAAAAGATTTATAATACCTGTTGCTGCCAAGGATGTGGGGGAAAGGGTATCCTCCTCTGTCACGGTAGAAATGTAGAGTGTTTTAACTTTTTTCTTTTGGAAAAGAAGCTGGAAATATTTAGTACAACATATAGGCACAGTGGTTCTGTATTTAAAATCCTTTTCTACAGAACTGAAAATACCAGAACATGCAGAAACATGCAGAGTTATGTATGCCGGCATTATTGGATTAGGCAAAACCTGGAAACAAAGTGAGTGCACATTAACAGGAAAACAACTGGGTAAAAATTGGAGCATTCACGTAATAGAGTATTATGCAGTCAATAAAAAGAAGGAATTAGGCTTATGCCAGATAACTCCAAGGGATTTCTATAAGGTATTTGTTAGTGATAAAATCATGGTACAGTAAAAGATGTAAAACAGGGCACCTATTTTTGTAAACCAAATAATGCCTAGCATATAGGTGTATGTATTCATAAACATATATTTAAGTGTGTGTGTGTATTACTGAAACTAAGTATATATATATATATATATATATATATATATATATACACACACACACACACACACCCATATGATTCAATAGGAACAGAGAAAGATATGGAAGCAAAAACAGTAGCTCATTAATATTGGTTATATTATGGAGTAAGTTAGAAGTCAAAGGAGTGAGAAAGTAAAAGATAAAAACACAGAGTTGGCTTAAATACATTTTTATTGAATGCAATTACATTCAGTTAGATGCCTTTATGAAAGGTGAGAGATGGGGAGAAAAGGATTTTGCCCAGAAAACCCAGGGAAAGAGTAGCCTGACCATAACATCACTGGATTTGCAGAAGCTTTAAGATGCATAGCAAGGATTTGGATTTTCACGTTGAAAGCAATTTGTCGTTGTTTTAAATCGAGGATAATTCGAGATCGATAAACAGTCTTTGTGACTATGTCAGCGTCGTTACTAACGCTATGTGAGAGTCGTTCTTGAAGCTTTTCCTTCTCCTTTATTCTCAGGGAAATGTGTCCTTTTCCTGTTCACAACCGCAGTCTGTGCCTGTGACTTTTCTGAGCTCTGAGAGTTACTTAGCACTGCCAGGCTCTTCTGGGGAGGAAGAGATTTCTGCCGCTTTTCAATTTCGAACCTGGAACAAGGCAGGACTTCTGCTCTTCAGCGAACTTCAGCTGGTTTCAGGGGGTCTCCTCCTCTTTCTTAATGATGGAAAACTCAAGCTGAATCTCTACCAGCCAGGAAAATTACCCAGTGACATCACAGCAGGTAATAAGTGTATTCCTGCAAGCGAAGCATATGGATTTGAAAGATTTCATTATCTCTCTCTCCCTTCTCTGTAAAATTTTATGCATAACCAAAAAATTAATATTTGTTTAATAAATGAATACTTGAGTTAATAAGATTATCAGTACTCTTCCTGAGAGGAACTCGATTCCAATTTCCTTTTAAATATGGCTCCAGCACTCGCAGTTCTTATTAACCAAAGTGATCGCTGTGGAGGGAATAGAAATTTCCTTCCATGACCATCTTGCCCACACCAGATAAATCAACATATCCTGAGGAAATGTGTTATGGGACAAATGTGAAAGACTGAAATGGACCCAAAAGTTTACTGAGTGTCTTCCATGGAAAACTGGGCTTGTCTAACACAGCTATTAGTCTTATCTGGTCTGTGAGAGAAAGGGAGAGGTTTTTCTTGGATCTATATCTATATCTGTATATTAGTGTGAATGTAAAACGTAAATACTTAGTCAAAGTAACTTCACTTGCTGATGTATTCTGTACAGAGTTGATATATTTTGGGAGGATGAAAAGACTCATGAAAAGTTGCTCATTTGGCACCAAATGCAATTCTCTCCACTTCTACGCATTACGGTATCATTTCAGTGATTAGAAGTAACATAATTAAGGAGACTGTACGAGTGTCTGGAAAATTAATGTCTAATTTAGGTCAGCGCTTTGGGTGAAGGATATTTTTGTCCCTTCATTAAAATTATATAGTTCTTGACAAGAGAGCTCCATCACATTTTCATATATATGGAATAACACCCAAGCCAAGCAACTAGAGGTCACATTGGGGTAAATTGCTACATCAGTTTAATAAATGATCTTTAAAAACAATTTAAAGATGCCATCCTACTACTCCTCTGTATTAACTATGACCAAAATTAATAGAATATGACTGGGAGAGGGAAAAAAATTAAAATACAGTCAGAAACTAAATGTAAGAAAATCAAGTATATAAATGGATACACAAATGCTTAGTCTTTATGTATCTTTTTTGTTGTTCATATATCATTGCAGTTTAAGTGTTGGAGCTGAAAGTTCAATATTAATTATGATTTTTAGGAGGTACTGTGCTGTGATTTTTTTTTTTTTCCGTGAGGAAGATTGGTCCTGAGCTAACATCTGTGCCAGTCTTCCTCTATTTTTGTATGTGGGATGCTGCCACAGCATGGCTTGAACGGTGTGTAGGTCCATGCCCAGGATCTGAACCTACGAACCTGGGGCTGCCAAAGTGGAGGGTGCGAAGTTAACCACTATGCCACTGGGCTGGCCCCCTGTGCTGTGACTTTTTAATGTGATGCTCAAAATGTGGTAGATTTGCAGCCTTGACAAAAGGAAATAAATTCATCAGTGTCATATTAAAAAGTGAGGGCCTAAGAATGTAAGCTTGCCATTAATGTGTAGTTTATTGTGATGTGTTTGACATCCTCTGAACTGGGTATATTCACAGCCTAATTTTCAGCATCTTAAAGAAACTACTTCACTACAGTATTACTGTACTGAGCCCCATGGAGCTACTTCATTTCTAAACTCTTTACCGACATGTATATTTGATAAATTACTAGGTGTAAGTCTACATAGAATACCCTGAATGATTTAAAAATCTCTAAATTAATGTTTAAATTCATATGCAATATAATCCATTATGATACCATATGACAATGCGATTGTTTTCATAGTTAAGAATAGGGAGCTTAGACTAAATAGGAATGTCAATAGCAAAATTCTTGTACTGCAGATACCACAAGTAGGCCTTACCAACTCCCTACCACCATTTTTCCAGTTTCTTTTAAAATATTGATTTTTGCTAGTTTCAGTGAGGCGCATACATTTTACCTTTGAAAGTAGACTGTTTAAATGGTAGTTCGGTGGGTGGTCCATTTGTCCTCTCACAGGGAAAGATTTTCTCCTGGACACTGTTTGGTAATTAAATCAGCTGTGAGAATGTGTTATGATGACTCTTTAAAGAGAATCAAGTATTTATTGATGGATCAGTAACATATTATATTAAATCTGTCCATTTTATAAGGATGGTTCAGTTTTCTTTCTTAGTACTTATAAAATACTAATCACATGTTTTAAAAACTTAAAATTTTTATCTCTTACAGTGGAATAAAAATTAAATTGTATTGAGGAAGAACTGAATTGTGCAAATGTTTGAATTATCCGGCTACATTTTTAATGTGATGCACAGTTTTGGCAATTGTCATTTGGAATTCTTTGAAAATATTATGTCAGCCTATATCACTTTTGAAATATTAAGATATTATATTAGTCTAAATTATAAAATGTATTAGCAGTACTACAGCATCTGTCATCACACAAAATATTTTCAGTCCTTGTCACTTTTATAGATGTCAAAGCAAAAATCATTTAGATGGGATCAAAAACCCAACAAACATTACAGTTATATTTTCCTATTCAAAACAAATTCTCTGTTGTCAAATTTGGGATTTTTGCTATGGTTTTAGCATTTCTGCTGCTGCTTTTCCCTAAAGGTGAAAATCAGGCTGTAAACAAGCTTCTTGCTCCCGTGGGCAGGGCCTGCCAGGTACAGGCTTGCACAATACGAGATGCACATTTTTCATTTACTAGACATTTGTGCTTCCTGTGGCCGGCCGTGGAGTAGCCCCACCCCGGAGCAATGTTTTTTTTTTAAATTCCCCTTTCTTCTCTTTCACTATTGGAATATGCCTACCTTTCAGATTATAACCTTGTCTCTCCCTTAAAGTCCACTTTCCTAAAGTGATTGGCACCAGTGACCTCCATATTTTAATCTTGGCAAGAGCAATCTGGTGGGCTGGATCTTTAAGTCTGGTTAGTAGATGTAATTGGTGGAATTGGAATTCTGGGGCTGTTTCAGAGCACTGAAAGGTATTTGGAAGCAGGGAAACCCCTTCAGTTGTTCTTTGAGTAATGGCCTATGTATAATTGCCTTTTACACTTTTGTAAAGAGCCTACCCTTACAGCGGGGTTATTTTTTCTTTATAATTCTTACCTTATGGATGTCTATTATAGTCTTACGGGAGGGTGATGGTGGCTAAGCTGTCACCATATTTCTGTAGCAATTTAGGACTGGTACTTGAAGAATATGTACAAGAGGGAGCACATAGAAACCTTTTTCTTCCTGCTGTATTTTGTGTGTTTATGTGGTTTGGACCTGAGAGAGAGAGAAAGGGGGAGCGGAGGGGGAGGGAAACGGGGAGGGGGAGGGAGAGACAGAAGGAGGTGTAGGAGGAGGAGAAAAAGAAGGAGAAAAGGGAGAGAGAGAAATGGAGAGGGAGAGATTTCTAGTAAACAACTCGATTCTCTCCTGCTACCTACAACTGCAAACGCTTCCATTTATTCTTCCGTTCCTCCATTGGAATTGTCAGTGTTTCCCACCTAAAGGCCACAGTGATCACCCTGTAATCAAACGAGTTGAGTTTATCGCTTATTGCAACAAGGGAACACACATCCTGGGGAGGCCTGGAGTGTCTCAATACAAGGTGTTAAGGATGACTTATTATAGGATTTTGGGTAGTGTTAACTGATTTGTGGGGATGTTTCAAGGAAGTGGAAAATTGCTCTGGATTAAATGCTGTCAGAAGCTGAGGGTAACTGTATGATTAGCTATCTTTGTAAATCTTATCTAGAAGTTTGGAAGAATGAAATAAGGCTAAGGCTGTAATTGGTAAATAACAACAACAAAAAATTACTTGTCGTTCATATTATCCAAGGGAGAATAGTTTGGTCTTTTTGTGGTTTGCACAGTATCCTTGCTTAGGATGCTTGTCTGTGCTTAGGCAAGATTATAAAGTAGCCTTGATTATTGTTTTGGCCCAGTTTCATTGTCGTCACAGAGTGACCTTGTCTGATATTGGCATTCTATGAGATTGTTTATGTTCAACAGGAGGACACGAAGGCCTTGCTCTGAGTACCAGCCAACTTTCACACCACCAAGGCCTCACTGAGAGTGAGAGGCCAGTTCCTAGCTGTTAGGACTGCTTTTTTCTCTCTCAAAGTTAATTGTCTATTGTGAGCAAAAAATAAGGGGACTTCCTATGCCGCAGCCAGGGAAGAGTGTGGGTTTTGGAATCAGCTCACCAGCTGGATATCACCTTGGGTAATTTGTTTATCCTCCTTGAGCCTCATTTTCTCCACTTAAAATAAAAATAATAATAGCTGTGTTGAAGATTAAATGACACAATGCATATAAAGCACACGGTCCCTGTTATGAATAAATAATTCAATAAACTGTTATTATTATTATTTTATTATTATAATAACAACATGCCCCTCCTCCAGACTCAAAAGTTATGAGTGGTGGGAGCAGTGTAGTAGGATTAGCATTTAGTTACCTAATGTCGTGCAAGAAAAGTACAAATGCTAGCCTGGGAAAAGATCAACATTTAAAACTCTAAGTATTGTTTCTCCTGAGCGTGTATTGCTTTTCTATCATCGTAAAGTCAAAAAATCGTAAGTTGAACCATCATGAGGTGGGGACAGTCTGTCCTTAAAAAAAAGATTTTGATTAAAAAATTATCCTTTTTATTATGTAGAATTAGGTGAAATGAATTAAATGGTTCTTCCATTATTTAATTTGAGTAATAAATTCCACTGATGGGTATTAAGTCTTCTCATCATAGGTGAATGATGTCTGGGGCCGGCCCCGTGGCCAAGTAGTTAAGTTCGCGTGCTCTGCTTCTGTAGCCCAGGGTTTCGCTGGTTCGGATCCTGGGTGCGGACATGGCCCCACTTGTCAGACCATGCTGAGGCAGTGCCCCACACAGCACAATGAGAGGCACTCACGACTAGAATATACAACTATGTACTGGGAGGCTTTGGGGAGAAGAAGAGAAAAAAATAAAAGAAGATTGGCAACAGATAGCTCAGGTGCCAATCTTAAAAAAAAAAAATAAGTGAATGATGTCTATTAAATGAGGGTCTCCTACAAACACAGAATAACTTCGTAACCTGCTAGCTGGTTCGGTGGGTGCATTTAACTGTGTCAAATTACAGAGTGGGTTGTCCTGGCGGTCGTTTGTTCTTGATCTAAATCGGCTTCTGTACTGACAGAAGATGTCCCTGAGCCTTTGACTTAATCCTGCTACCCGCCTAACCCTGCAGTTATCTGGAACATTGCTACTTAAATGTGGTCCCTGGACTAGCACTGGGTCAGTGAAATACTCCTTACTAAGATGGGTATAAAAATTGAGATTAGGGCGAGCCCCCTGGCCTAATGGTTAAGGTTGGTGCACTCCACTTTGGTGGCCTGGGTTCGGTTCCCGGGTGTGGACCTACACCACTCGTCTGTCAGTGGCCATGCTGTGATGACAGCTCACATACAAAAAGAGCAAGATTGGCAGTGGATATTAGCTCAGGGAGAATCTTCCTCAGGAAAAAAATTGAGATTACGCTCTTAGAAGCTGATAGAGCGATAAGATTATTGTCACAAGATCTAAGTACATAGTCAGTGGGCTTGCATTTATATGTCTTTATTTAATTTTTTAGTAATTCATTTTTATTGAATTTTTTTAAAGTATCAGTCTGCAATAGATCAGAAAAGAAAATGTTCACCACCACAGGTAGTTGGAGAAGAGCCATCCTAAAGCAATGGAAAGCCTAAGATGAAATAATGGGAGTAAAGTCGCGTATATAGGCACATCCACGCTTTGACGCAGAGCTGGTAGGAGACGTGGACAGGGCAGGGAGAGTGGGTAGTGTCTGTATGTGTGACGCAAAACTCAATACAAGGATTTTCACTCTAAATGTATCCTCTAGAGGAAGCACTGGATGACAAATCTGGGACATTTGATTTATTTTAGTCCAATCTCATACCGTCAGGGATTATATAACTCTATTCAGCTATCTATTTCAGAGTCCAATCTTAGAAAATGTGTCTAAAAGTATCTAACCTCCATCCTTCATTTTTCAGTTTTTAGGTCTTTCTCATCATCTTTCACAAACCAAAGCAGAGTTTGGTCTTTGGAAATCTTTTTTGCTTCATGGATATAATGTAAAAATGAGCTCTGGTGCCCAGGCTGGAATTTGTGTTACACTAAATAAGTCCAGGGCAAAGAACTTCATCGTCTAAGGGAGCTTCCTTGCATTTTCTGTCTGAAAGCCTGTGGTCAAAAATAGCTGGGGAAATAAAGAAATTGCAAGTATTATCAGATCCATGACTTTTTGGTTTAATAGAGTACTTACATTTTTTCCACTAATTTGATCTGCAAAATCATACAGAGTTGAATATTCAATGGATGTAAATAAACCTTACAGGTAAATACACAATAGAGATGCTTAGATTCCACCTGTCTGCTGAGTATTTAACCACAGAGCCCCTGGTAGGCTTACTTCCCTTTAAGAGGGAAAATACACATCATCTCATGGATTCACGACACTGGGACTGCCTTAGAAGGGACTAGAGATTGTTTTTTAGAGGCAATAAGAAAACTGATTTTTTATTATAGCAACTTTTGGTTATATATATAAACCTGTAAAATACAGAAAAAATATAAATATGAATAAAAACAACCGCAATTTTCTTGCATGCAATAATTACTGTTTATATATAAGATATTTCCTTTCAGTCCTTTTCCATATTTATCCAAAAATTAGGAATATAATTGGAATCATATATAGAGAGTCGATTCTCATTATTTGCAATAGTTATTATGTTTTCTAAAGTTGTTGTGAACACTGAATTAGCAAATACTGAATCATTGCTCCTAGAGGAAAGACCGGGTTAGGTTCCTGCAAGCCTCTGGTCACAACATTTTTGTCAACCAATCAATACATAAAACCTTGTTTTATGTGTGCTTCTGTTTAAAGACACCTTATGTGATATATATTGTTGATTCAGTAACATTGAACTCATGACCAACAGCACTATAACTCAGTATAACTCATGTTAGATGACGAAGGTTATCTAACACATATATTTTCTCCATGAGGCACCTCGCAGCCTTCTTGCATTTAGGAACACTAGACAGTACTTCCTCACTGTGCTTCAGGGCCCTTTAAATGGCAAGATCATCAACAAAAAGCACAAAAATTTAAAAAACTTGTTTACACAGGAGAGCTGAAACAAGAAGCATGCCCTCGTTTCATCTCAGCTGGAAACACGTGTCAGTCAACTCAAATTTTTCTCTGCTCTACACATTTCTTTGAATGATTTCAAAAGTATCCCAAGTATTGATTTGGGGGTTACAGATAAATTCTGGCAAGAGGTGAATTTGCAAGTATGGATTCTGCAAATTATGAGGGTGAACTGTGTAAATAGGATTTTACACACTACTTTATTTTTTAACTTTGCATTTTACTGGTGAACTTTCAATATTCATTATAGTTTCTTCAAATATTTTTGTCATGGTTGACTTCATATACTTTGGTAAATATTCTACTCTAATATTATAAAAGATGACTACATAGAAGTATAAAAAAAAGCAGATAAATCATTTTATCGAGTAGAATTTGGGAAAATATCTGTGCTCTTCCCAAGCCCCTCCGCATGAAAGATAAATTACATGATAAATTACATGATAAAGTTAGTCCATGCCAAATACTTGAAAGATTTTTAACCATTTAGGATTGTCCAAAGTTGGGATTTTTTTTCTCTCTGTGGTGGCCCTAAGAAAGGAAGACTATAATGCACCATTTTCCCCATAGAGGGTGCTGAGTTCCCACCTGCCTGCCTTTTCTCTCTTCCTTTATGTTTCCTTTTAATAGGTCTGAGTGTTGTACTTGATTGAATGATGTGTTTATTGCTGTTTCTAACCAACTTCACTCAATGTTCGCTGTTGAGATCTCTTTTAACTGATCTTATCTCCCCCAGGTGCTGGATTAAATGATGGGCAGTGGCATTCCATCTCCTTATCTGCCAAAAGGCATCATCTGAGTGTGGTGGTGGATGGCCAGCTGACTTCTGTTGCTCCTTCCCTGGGGCCTGAGCAGATTTATTCAGGTGGAACCTATTATTTTGGAGGTAAGAGAAGAGGTCAGGCCATATGGGCAATTGAACCATATTTGCAGTTACTACCCCTGTGTCTTGGGGAAGTCATCCTGTTTTCACCTGGGTCAATGCTACAGAATAATTTCTCACTTTCTTTGAACATGGAAATGTGGACAGGATCAAGATGACAAATTGTGACCTAAAATGCATTTCTTTGAGGTGGACTGACTTATGTTTGCAATTTCAATAATGAGCTTGATTGCAAATGGGCCACCCTCTTCAGTTCTTGCTTTCAAATTTTGTTATATTTTCCTAATGTTAAATGGTCCTTATATGCCTTTTTCTGATTTTATGGGCTGATTTTATTGCAGTGTTTTCCTGATCATGCCTCTTAGGTCCTCTGGAGCATCCTTATTGCTTTCCTACTGCCCAAAGCAGGAGGGCAATATTATGTCAATGAACAAATAATCTAACTTAATTAGCCATAGAAATCTCTCCTCATTGCTGAGTAATAACGCACTGATACATTTGATGACATTACAGCCATCAGCCATCAACACCAGGCCTCTCTCTCAGAGAACAAAAACAAATGAAGCCTCTACCTGCCCATTGGATATCTGATTGACCTAAAAGCTTGGAAAAGGAAATCTTGGAAATAGAAATGAATCTTTAGCACTGGAAAATTAAAATAAAATGTTCTTTGCCGTTAGGAAGGCAAAATTGTAAAACCGTTAGTGGTAAGACTTACTTCTAATCATCACTTGAGTTGTTTCTTATTGTTGTTATTTTCGATTTTAATAGTTACTTCTGTCTGCAATCACTTTTGAATTTGGTGGAAGTAGCCCAATCTTTATTATTCATCAGTAAAATACTAATTACTTTCTAGGAATTGACGGTAAGCACACAGACCATCAATCATTCTTCTGTTATTGAGAGCAAACAAACAAACGAAAGACCCAACATAAACCATTACCGTGACAGTCAGCAGAGTGCCAACAATCTTAAAAGATATAATTGCTTCCTTTGGTGAGATTTGCTCATTTCCACACCAAGATGTTTATAAAACCTTGTGGAATATATGATTGATTTTATGACAGTCCATAAGAACACATTCCTTTAATGAATGGTAAAATATATAGAACAACTTAAACAAGAGCTTTCACTTCAAAGGAAAAGATTTAGAAGCCCTAAAAAGAGATACGAAAAAAAGAGGCATATTGTGAAATGTGCAAAAACAAAAGACTGGATAAAAATAGCAGACTGGATAAAAGTTCAAATCATTAAAATAGAATCATTCTGAAAGTATTTTACGTCCTTCATGTTCAGAGTTAACGATGCCTACCTATTTTTTGTAGAAACTTTGCTTGCTTTATTTATACTATAGTATTATTTTATTGTGAAATATATCACGTGTGCATTCTATTTTGCTTATTTTTCTTATGATACATATGATATACACCGTTATATCTGAATAAACTTTAGCTTTTTGAATAGTTTTAGATTTACCAAAAAGTTGCAAAGATATACAGCAAATTCCCACATATCCCATAGCCAGTTTCCTCTCTTGTTCACATCTCACACCATATATGCTTTTTAAAGAATACTAATTATTTTTTTAAAATACACATCTACACGTGCCTTCCCAAGCTTAGAAAGATAATATTGCCAACGCCCTATTTGTCCCTCCAGGATCACATCATCTCCCCAGGTAAACTTGATTTTGAATTCAGGATTTATTCTTCTCCTCGTGTTCTTTATAATTGGAGATCTATTAAAGTGTCCCTAAGTTCCTAAACAATAAACTGTGGAACCTTCCATAATAAAATTCAAACTTCAGGAGTCTTTAAAAAAAATAACCAATCTCAAGTTTACTTAGGTGTCTCTGTTTATTAATCATCTTCTCTATCAGCATCCTTCAGCACCAGAATATGTTTGGCGTGAGATTCTGCTGAGCACTAAATACATGCCCTGCAAACTCCAGGGCACCCGAACATTTCCAGGGCTGGGAGCAAGGGTCCAAAAGAGAGCAGGAGGCCTTCTGCTGCCCCACCTCACCCTCCTCCTCCCAGCCTGTGCCTCCAGGTACTGGTAGAGGGGGTTCCCCTATGGAAGCCCGCTTAGGACTTTTGGGCTGGGAATTCTAGATTCTGGGAGTGGACTACAGGGGAGAGGGTTCGAGCAGGCTCATCACCTTCCCTGATGAGGCCTCCTGGGGCCTGGGCCAAAGCGTGCCTGGAGGAGGGCTAGAATAGAATCCTAAAGTGCAGGACTGGCCCTGGGGCCCCAGTTGCCTAAGTGGGGTCACCAGCTCTTCCCAATTTTGGCAATGAAAGCCCAGAGTCCCAGCGCAAACTCCGACAGTTGGTCACCTTTTATCTAGGTCAAGTCTTTTCTTGGGTAGTTAGTTCTTCAGCCAGTTTACCTAATTCAGGTAAGTAAACATCCCATGTTCTGAGACACTTCCCGTCAGTTCTCCTTCACTTCTCTCTCAGTTCAACTGCAAGTTTCCAGTTATCTTAGTGGCTGCAATGCCCCACTGCAAAGGAGCATCTGTTCCAACAGCCTGGATTGTCTTTCCCTTCAATGCCAGTCTTGAGAGTGACTGTCATGTTGGAAGAGTGCACTGTTTCTGGACTCACAGTGTCCTACATATGCCATGCCAAATTCTACTCTCTGTCCGTCAGTTTTCACTTTTTCTCCCCCCAAAATGAGTGCTTTTCAAAAAGCCAGACTGCATTGTGCTCTACTTTTATCATTTATAAATTATGAATTTTAAATCTGAGCTCTCCAGACTGAGGATGGATGAATGTCTAATTTCTGTATATTCCTCTGTGCAGTCTTTGTGCTATTGAATAACACACTGTGTAGTGCAAGCTGGAGATCGCAAATTGTGTGCAGAGTTCTTACACTCCTGCTTGTGTGAGTCAAACATTCTCCATCCACTGAACTGGCTACACCACCATGAAGTCAAATCCGACGTCTCACTCCTGGCACAGTGACACACAGTGATAATTTATCTGTCATCCTCAGAGGTGCTTAACATGCTGACTGCCTCTGGTAATGGATCCAGCCATTAATTCAGCATTAAATATTCCCCAGAAATCTTCACAGTTTAGAACTTTCATCTCAAATGGGTTCAGTGCTGAGCTTCCCTCTGCTATTGCCTTCTATTAAATTGTGGATGCCTGTTATCATAGGCTAATGAGACTGACCTGGCTTGAACCCTTCTTTGTTCTTAGAATCTCTTGCTTATTAAACATGGTAGCTAGGGCTATGAAGTGCCTCATGATATGATGCTGTGCTTTCTGTAAAGTTCCCTGACCTTTCCTGGTGACTATGAGTTTGCTTAGTTTTGTTCCCCACAGGCATATTGCACAATTTATTTTATTCTGAAATAGTTTGAAATGTGTCAGGAAACGCTACCTGGAGAAAAGGAGATTAGCAGAACTGTTTATATTCCTGGCATGTTGTAATTGCCCCCAAATATGATTGAACTGTTGTCCTCTCAGTTTTTATTTTAACATTGTTAATTGGTTAATAAGTCATCTAGAAAACATATTGAGATTATAGTAACCATATCCTACATCACAGAAGAATTTTAAGCACTGAAAATGCGTGTAGTGCCAAGTACAATAAATTGATACTAAAAATCTTTCATCACCTTTTCTTGAGATGTTAAATTTGAAATTTCACAGTTAAAATATAATATTTCAATGTGCCTGATAACAGTTTTAAATATGAATGCTGGCCTTTACTTGCCATGTAAATGTATTTTGCTAGGCAAACAAAACATTAGGGGAAAGATCCTCAGTAAAAATATTTCGTTATAATGGAAGTTCCAAGGTAGAAAACTAACATGGATTGTACCAGAATTAGGAAATTACTGATTGATTTCTTATTCTTTGAAATTGGGATAGTGGTTGAAAACTGTAACGGCAAAGAAAGATTAATGAAAAATACATAAATATAATATATGTGTTTATACGCCATAAAATTATTTATTTCACTTGAATAGAGAAACACTTAAAGCATCGTTAAGTGCTAGACAATAATGGTTGATATTATATTTCTTTATTACCTAAATAATTAGACACTAGTCTTAGATAAATGTCTGAAAACCAGTATAAGTGGAACATTCTTTTATGGGGCAAAGAATAAATAAAATCAAATAGTGAAATGTTTTGGACGTTAAGATGTAATGATTTATTAAAATGTGTGTATATGTGGCTCTTATATGCATATGAAAATAAAGCATTTAATTAAATAAAATAGTTGGTAATTTTATTCCAAGTCAATATAACTCCTTTGTCAAATAGCTTTAAAAACAAAGGTATTTCACCATTATTGATTTACCTTTTCTTATCTACGGTGCACATTTTCATCCCTTATGCTCTTCTTTTTTGTGTTCCAAAAGGCTAAGTTTTTGTGTTTAAGTGGTATATAGCTGAATACTGCTGGCTATCATGTTTCGGGTTCTGGAGCTAATAAGCATATTTAAAAAATTTGGAGCAAGTTAACATCCTTGCACATAATTACTAAAACAGTAATAATTTCTTATGAATCCCATGATAATAAAAAGAAATACTTTGTATGAATTGCAATTTATAATTTAGATCAAATGAATGATGACTTCAATGGGCTTTTTCTCCTTTGAATTCTAAGAAATAATCAAATGCCTATTTTATTTTTTAACGAAGTATTTTATGATACTGAATCCTGATTTATTATGATGTCTCCTGGTTTTACTTTGTTTTGTTTTGTTTTTCTCAGGTTGCCCTGGCAACAGCTTTGGATCCAAGTGTAAAAATCCGCCTGGTGGATTTCAGGGCTGTATGAGACTCATCTCGATCAGTAACAAGGCTGTAGATCTGATTTCAGTTCAGCAGGGGTCCCTTGGGAACTTCAGTGACCTTCAGATAGACTCATGTGGAATCACAGACAGGTAAGGACAATTTCATTCCTTTATGTCGACATGTACGTTTTCAAACTTTTCACAGCAGATTGAAATTCATATATAAAAATGAACATTTTTTTCTCCCTCTTTCCCACCATCATCTGTTCCACAGGAAATGGATTATATATTTACTTTGGAAATAAGGACAATATGCCTTTAGTTTTATACTTCATGTTTGCAATGATTAAGTTTAGATAGAAGTCATATGACCGTGTTATTTACATGTACACATGCTAACAATTCACAAAAGATAATGTTGATGCTGCTATAATTTTAGGTAGGTAAAAATGTAACAAAAATATGTCATTAGACTCAATGGATAAGGTCACGCTCAGTGATATTGATCATCAGGTACCGATAAGTCAGAGACCCATCTGCTTAGTTATCACACTGGCTTTTACTTCCCTGACAGCTGAATCATATTTTCAGAGGCTTAGGGATTTAACTGGTTGCTGTGCTCCCAATGTGTGCCTTTAACAACCCATTGCTATCTTCTCTGCGGGGAAAATGGAAAGAAACCTCTCCTCTGGAAAATTTTGGAGCCATAGTATTGATCAAGGTGTAAGGCTGATCCCATAGTTTCAATAGGAACCCTAGTATAGGACGTAAGAGTGCGAGATTTGGGAGTTAATTGTAGAGGGCGAGCCACTTTTAAAATAATAATTGATAGTTAATAATTTAATAGTATTTTTAGGCATGGGCAACATTAGCCAAATAATCTTGCCAGTCATGCTTTATTTTCAAGGCTGTTAATTTTAATTATTGAGTTCAATGGAACGTCACGGCCACTATAGATTTAAAAAAACTACACAGAGTGACAAACTTAGCCCCTATCCTGTAGTAGCGTTCAGTATATATTTTGAATAAATACATAAATTCTGAGTTTTAAAAATACTTTTCATTTGTGTGAAAGCTTTTATCCACATAAACACATCTGTTTATATCTGATAGACCGTTTAATCCATCAATGTCTGTGGTGCCTATTTTGAACACTAATGGATATTGTTTTTGTGTAGAAAAAAATAATTATAAACTTCTTTAGCAATGGATTAGATGGACATCACTTCCTGTCTGTGAATATGCATTTATTTATTTAACCCAATTTGTAGATAAAATGATTCTATTATGGAAGGTGATATGTAAAGGGATGATTTAGACAATAAACCTCAATTGGCTTGATCTGGGGGATTAAATGACAGTGACCTTCCCCGTAGTTACAGCCACACCAGCTCTGGAACCTGAATCCTGATTTTGGGGGGGACACGTAGCCAGGCTGCCTGACCTGCTCCCTCAAGGTGGGGCTCACTTGGAGAGGTGGGGGGGCCCTGTCTCTGGGAGGTAACAGCCATCGGGGGCCACTAGAGAGGCTCAGTCATCCACAGTGAGCGGTAGAGTCATACTGACCATCCCACATCACAGAAAATTCCTTTGGTATAAGTAGATCCATACTTCTCCAGTGTGGATTTCTCTGAAGCTGCCATTTTATGTAAGGAATCCATGTTGCCTGCCTTCTGGAACTACACACTTGTAAAACAGAGTACAATACAGCACAGTTGGAGAATGTATGGCTTCAGTGCCACACCTAAAAAACAATTTTGAGAAAGAGTGAGCAAATTATGGATGGATCTAGATTACACATGTTGGTTTTTTTTTAAAGAAAACTTTATGCTAACAGTAACTCTAGCAATTTAAAAATAATAATAAAAATCAAAGTAGCTTTTATATTTGTATATCATTTAAATTTTCAAGTGTATCTCTAAACTCATTCTCTAACACTCAGAAGAAAACATATATGCATTTATTTTGGTCTTACGTGCGGTACCCATTGACATCGCTTCCAAAGCATTATTAGAATCTTATTTTTTAAAAAAACTCTGTATACCAGGCTCTATGCTAAGCACTTAACATGAATTACTATTTAAGTTTGGGTGTCTCAGTGACTGTGTGGAAGGAATATGTGAGTGTGTAAAGAGTGTGGGAATGCATATGTGAATGACCTTATCGGTGTGTGAGGGTGTGAGGACAGTGTGGATGTATGTGTGTGCATGTGTGTGCACATGTATATGGGTTAATGTGTGAGGGATTGTGTGTGTGAGGATTTGTGTATGTAAGGAGCATTTGGATATGTGAGTTTATGAGTGTGTAATGTATGTGAGAGACTTGTGCAATGACTATGTTCTAAAATTGTTTTAATTTAGTCCTCACCAAAACCCTTAGAACCTGTTCTTAGTAGTATTTTTTTTTTCTTGTAAATATGGAAACAGATGCACAGAGAGGTGAAGTAAGTTAGCTAAGATGTCTTGGCTAATAGGCAGAGACCAACGTCAAATCGAAGCCCTCTGATTCCAGGAAAGTCCCCGAAATGTCTCCCCGCCATGCCACCCAGCCCCCCTGGGTGCACGTTAATGTTTATGGTGGTTAATATTTGATCTGTGTATAATAAACACATAATTTACTGGTTCAATACATTGCAATTAAAAGCAAACAGGAGCATTAGAAATATATTTAAAAATCTGACAGGAACTTAAACAATGTAGTGTAGTTCTTTTTTTACTGTAACTAACTTTAAGTTGGATCAAACCTACATATAAAAGTGTGCATACATTTACACATATGCTCACACTGTTACACAATCATTTACACACATAAACCAACAGTCATTGCACTCTGCCTCTCATGCACACATACACACTCATATGCTCACTCACATATCCCAGAGCTCCTTACGCACACACTCCTTATACCCACATTCACATACCTCTTCGTCCCTCATTAATCCATACACGTGCACACTCACACCCTCACACACCCACACCATCTTTACACACGCATCCACCCATTTATAAGATCATTCTTACCCTCCTTACACACACATATCTTCCTTACACAAATCACTCACACACACTTATCTAGAAGCCCTTTTCTTGTCTTCTGTGGACAGGCAGGGGAGGTGGCCCTAAGTCAGGAAATCTGCGTGGGGAGTGACTGAGGGGTGAGGGCAGTCAGTCCCTCAATGGTGGTGAGGACAGAGCTGCAAAGGGAGCTGCCGACCATGGCCCCATGTGCATGTCCCCGTAACTTGGGGCAGAAACCCAGGTGGGGCTGGGGCCACGGGCAGGGGTAGGGGTGACAGTTGTTAGGGCATAAGTATTTATTAGGTTGCTTGGACCTAAACCACTTACTAAACAATACTTTTAGGTATATCTTTTGATATCAGCTTTTTGAGAATATCAACTCATTGGGGAAGGTCACCATCTCAGCCCTGACATTTCCTATGCTTCCCTGAGTGCAATAAGGCAGAGGATGTGGTGTGACAGAGACTCCTGACAAGAATTAAGAGGCCTCTGTGTGACAGCGTTCACCATGGTGACCTCGGCAGGCCCAGCACCTGCCTCCTGGCTTCCCAGCCTCCAGCCTTCACATCTCCATGAGGCTGTTCTCCCAGTCTGCTTCCAGCACCCAGTCCTTGGGCTTGGGCCTCAGGCCTCCATCACACCATCTTCCCTGCAGGCTGGTCCTTGTCCTCCCTCCGGTCCTTTACCCTCCCTTTCCTCTCCTCTGAGGAGCCGCGTAAGCCTGCCCTCCTTCCTTCTCCCTTATGCTGCTAACACTTGATTGGAAGATCATGCTATTATTCTGTCTCCTGTAATACTGGAGCCATGGCTTGTTTATTTGTTGGGGGGAAAGACAGGAGATAGTGCGTGAGGGGCTGGTTCTTGTTGATTTCATAGTTTTGAAGAAGGATATGAGATTTGAATTCAGGTGGTCACCATTATCCTGGGACCCATAGGTACCTAACTTTGTTTAATTTTCCTAAATGTGATAATGTTATATAGATTTTTACTTCAATATCATTAATTCCAGCCAAGTTTTACATTATGTGAAGGTCTTTTCAAATTTAAATTGGAATGGACAGGGAATCAGGATAAACCAAAAGCATACACGTCACTTCAGTTTGGGGCATGTTGATGTATGCATTTGTTCAAGTTCACAAGTAATGAAAATAATGATGGGGATGTCTAAGGAAAAGCTTTGGAGGCTACAGAAAATGGGTCAATGGATTGTTTTACTTTGTATTGGAATGACTACTGAGGAGAAAACTGTAAATATAATTGCTTAGAACATTATATGAGAATCAGTACATCATTATACAGTGTAACTTGCCAAAGGTTACGTACTAATAGTCAAACGGAACTACTGTATGATGAGTTTAAATAAAATCCACAATCCAGTCTTTCACATTGTAATTAAAAAATGTGAAAAGTCAAGTCTAACAAGAGTTGAGGAAAACGGATTCATTGTCTTTCAGCAGCAGATCAAATAGAAACAGCACATGTGTCACGAAAATTAAAGATTCACTTTTTAGAATTTTAGGTATAGCCACTTATATCTGCCTCCTTTTAAAACATCCCTTGAGGTCTGTTAAAGAATAGCCTACTCTATCCTTTTTCTTTTCTGATCACCAACTAGGATTGTTATTGTTTTAATTTTTAAAAATTTCCCTCTTTCTTCTAGATTGTTACTGATTTGAAATGCTTAAAAAATTAAATACATCATGAAACAGTATTTGAATGGATTCCTGTGAATCTATAAAAATGCTGAAATATATATAAACTTAATTGGCATGGAAAGATGCCCATTATTTATTTTTGAATTCTTAAAATGCAGGTCATAAAATAACATGTATGTTATGATTATCTTTGTAAATATATACACACACGCAGATGGGTATATATTTATGGATTTATAGTGGCAATTTTTGTATAATGAGATTGTAAATTATATTTCTCCTCTATTATTTCCTGGATTGTTTGATTTCTGTATGGTGGATATCTGCTTTTTGTAATTAGGAAAAATCAATAACATTATTTTCAGTTAAAATTGGAAAAATCCTATAAGCAAAACACGAAGATCCCATCCTTAATTTTAATGAAGAAGGTGGCAGAAGCGCATCATGAATATATTCTTGACAGGTTTTGTAGTTTATTTATTTTTTTATTCTGAGATGAGTGAGAGCATTTCAAGCCTTGGTCTCAATGTATCTTTCAATGTAAATTCTAAAAAAGCATCAACAGTCGGATCAGGGCTATTTGAGTTGGTAATAGAAACTCCCCAACTTTTGATCCATGGTGCCCTACATAGTTCACTAATGTTTTCACAGTGTTCTAAGCCAAAAGATATACCTAACAGTTTCATTTAAAAGTGGCTTAGGTCCAAACAACTTTATAAGAATTTGTGTCCTAACAATGATTTAGTAACCCTTTGAACAAGTAATATATATATAATTTGAAAAATATTTTAATTTTATTTTTAAACACAACTACTTAGTAATTGCACATGTTTACTTGTTGGGTATTGTGCAACTTTTCAAAGCTTGGGATCGCATCAGGCACTGCCACCCTCAGTTTTGTTCAACATTGATTTGACATGGTACTTGTTTTTTATCAACTACTAAAAATCCAGCTTCTCAAAGATAGGACATCATTAAGAGAAATGTGTTATGATCGAATGTTGAAATTGAACCACCTCAAGCTAGTAAGTGGTACAATGTTTGACAGATGTTGAGTATATCTGTATTTCCCTTGAAGATTTAAAATATCCTGGGAGCCCCTGTGAGTCCGATTCAGCACCCTAGTGCACCCTGACACCCTGCTTGGAATTTGTGTGTCTATACGTACACCTTCAACACTCCTGGGTGTATATGCTAACTGACTCAAGATGACTCTCCCTCCTACTTCTTTCCTTCCCTCTTCTGTATTCCCTCTTCCTTTAATTATTCAGCGTAATAAATCAATATGATTAAATGTTGTTATTTATGTAAGGTAATGATATTTTGGGCAACATATTGAATCAGTGGTATGTCGCTTAAGCCAAGAAAGGGTTCTGATGTAGTTGGACATGTTGAAAATTAAGCAGTCACAACTACCTGAGAATTGGTTGAAATCTGATGAATTTATCGATCTAAGGTTTAGTTCTCTGATTAAAGTGCCATAACGACAGACTGAATAACCATTAGTCATGTTAAATTTACTCTTTAGGTTACTGTAGACATTCTTCTTTCACATGGCCATGTATAAATGATCAATATTTTATGCTATCTCAAAATGAAAAAGAGTGACTGTGTCTGCACCTTCTTTTAGGTGTTTGCCCAACTATTGTGAACATGGCGGTGAATGCTCCCAGTCCTGGAACACCTTTCACTGCAACTGTGCAAACACTGGTTACAGGGGAGCCACTTGCCACAACTGTAAGCCAGACACACCTCCTTGTTCTTGCCTCTTCTGATTTCCTCGTTCCATCTCCCTTTTCATTGCTGTGTGTATATATGTCCATGTGTGTGCAACCATGTATTGGAATGTACAACCCTGCATTTTAGCATCCAGTTGATTTCTAGATTATCTTCAGTCTACACCTCCTTTCATAAGGTAGTCAAGGTAACTTACAGAAATAGGTGATATAAAACAGGATAGAAAAGAGAAGGCTAGCTGGCAAAGGGAAAATATATATAGAAAACAAAAGGTAGCTAAGGATGAACATAAAATACAATGCAGAATAAGTTCCTGTTAATGAGGGTAATGAGGATAAGGATGTTGGATAATGATATTAATCATAATAGTTAATTTTATTGAGTATTTTCTAAATGCCAGGTGTGGGTCTAAGTATTTTATGTGTCCCAACTCATTTAATTCTGATGACCACCTCAACCCTGCCAGAATTGAGACTGGACTCCTGGGCTCCCAGCCCTGGGGGCTCCTCAAGGGGATGATCAGAAGTCCTGTTCAGGGCTGGAGAGGGTGTGAGCAGGAGGAGCTCTGGGCTCCACCTCTTGAAGCCTCCACCAGCACAGGCAGAGTCGTTCCTGGGGCATCAACTTATATATTGGCATGCCTCAAGAGATCATGAAGAACATTTGCTGTTGCTAAAGCCGTACCTCATGTAACCAGAGGCCAAGCTACTTGACCCAGGTCACCCAGCTGGCTGCGAGACAGTATATTTTAATTTTTTATATCTCCCATCATCCCCATTGTAGCACTAACTCCAACAGAAAACTAATTGCATGTCTTTTAATTGACTCTTTATTTTTAATTGTTACCAATGACTGAATCCAAATAAAAACACAAACAGCTCTGAGGAAAAAAAATCAGATGATAAATAAATAAGGTGTTTTCATCTGTGGGCCAAATTTATCCAATCCTTGAGTTAATTTATTAGGTTCTTGAGCGGGTAGTCTAAATGGAGCTGAGGATTTTTTGCCAGTAACCATTCTAAGAAATGGGCCAGGATGACAAACCTGGTAACAGTGAAGCCATCACTATTTTCCTCATGAGTAGAGGAGGGGGCAGGGATGGGGTCTTTTAAAAGATTTTATTAGAAAACAGTATGTTAAACTGTTATGTTATAAAATGTCCAGCAATGTGCGTAAAGCAAAAGTACTTCCAATTACCCTCCTCCAATCATGTGTCCTGTCTAATACCAGCCCTCACTCCAAAGTTACATGTGAGTCTGCCTATATCTTTCAAGGAATTTATGAGCATTTGCGTGTGCGTATAGAAATGTATAAATGAACCCTTTTTATGTGCCCACACAAAATACAAATGTGACTGGAAAGCAATCCGTGCATATATTTCCATCTCTGTGATGTATAATAGCAACCAAAAAAAGCCGTCAGGTTGTGGAGGAGTGGAGAAGCAGAACTTGTATGATTATCTGCATTTTTGTAACACAGAGAAAATTAGTTACGTTGCTTCATATTATCTAAAAACTCATTAACATAATTTTGAAAAATTTAGAATAGATCAGGGAAAGACATTCAGGGGATGATTGATTTCTTATTTCACAGAATACAAAGCTTGATGGAAATTATCAGTACATTTGGCTGAGTGTTCAATGAGAGGTTGCCTCACATACAGGTCTTAATTTCAAATCTTGTACATGGCACATATGTAATTGTATAATGAAAAACACCCTATGGATCAAGACGCATTGACACCACTTGGGGGCGTAATTCATATAAATCTTTCCTCTGCTTTGAATTTTAATTATCTTGAATTCTCATTACAGAGCATTAGAGGAAGTTTCTTTTGTAAATTAATTTTAAAATTATTGATGAGGAGCTTTGTAAATTGTATTTGTTTTATGACAAAAATGATTTTTATCTATAGATAATTTTATGTGAGAAAGGAAAATAGTGACAACATTATTTAAAACTTTTCTGCTGCATAATTATTGGGTAGCAAAGATTATTTAAGGAGATTGTATGTTGTGCTTCAGATGTTGGGTTCTGAGAAGGTGGTACTAGAATTAGAAATGCTGAAATGAACGTCGAAAGATCCATTTGGATGGATGTCCAAAATGGATGTCACATTATACTTGTAAGTGTCTTAACATTAAAACACCTACTTTCTCTTTTGTTTTTGTACCTAATGTAAGAATAAACTAAATTTTCATTTTGGCTAAATAATCTCATATTCCTTTAGTGATAAAAAGAAATGCCATAACATACAACCTCATTCTTCCTTTTTCTATCTAGCCTACTTTCGTCCATATTAATTTTTTTAAAAAAGAATGAGTTTTGTTTTAAGTACGTTTTATGTTTCTCCTGGTGAGTAAGGTACATATTAAATTTCCAGACTTGGAGTATTTTATGTCCAAATTAAAATTTAAGAGATTCATTTTATCCTATGCCATTTATGATGATCCTTTTTTTTTTCCTTTTTTACAGCTATCTATGAGCAGTCATGTGAAGCCTATAAGCACAGAGGAAATACTTCAGGGTTTTACTATGTAGATTCAGATGGAAGTGGTCCCCTAGAACCATTTCTTCTATATTGCAACATGACTGGTGAGTTAATCAACTTTCATTTAATCGTTGCATTTGCATGAATGCTTTAAACACACAAAATTAAAATGAAACAAGTAGAAAGTTGCCCTAATTTGCAACTTGATTAAAATATATATTGTTCAGTAGAAAAACTTAACATAAATCTTTTAAAAATAGTTTAATGGTAATGATTTAAAATGTTATTTTCTATGCATCTGTATCTGTGTAGAACATCTAATAATAAATATATCTTATTAAGTCTCAAAACAAAAATGATAGATAATTTCTCTGAGATGATTGATACATGTGAAAGCTTTGAAAAATATTTACTTTTCAAATGTATATAAACATTAAGTTTATTCTTCTTTACCTACATATATTTAAATAGGAATTGATTGTCATGGAAAATGTGTTTGATTAAATTCAACATCCATTTGTGATAAAAGAGAAAATGAAAATTCAATAAATTACTATTAGAAAGAAATTTCCTTAATTTGTTAGAGTACCCCCAAACCTACAGCATATATCACAGTTTATGGTGAAATATTGAAAGCTTTACCCCTGTTGCCAGCATTAACACAAGGATGCCTGCTGTTACCACTCTGTTCTTTATTGTATTGGAGGTTTTAGCCAATGCAATAAAGCAAAAGAAAGAAACGAAAAATATATTTACTGGAAATGAAGAACTAAGATTCTCATTATGACCAGATTATGTGTTGAGAATATTGTAAACAATCTACAGATAAACTATTAAAATTTAGTATGATCACTGGATATCAAGTTAATATAAAAATTAATTTTATTTCTGTATAACAGCAATAAACAATTAGAAAATGAAATTTTAGCAGATGCTGTTTTCGATAGCATCAAAAATGTCAAATACATGGTAATAAATTTAATGAAAGATGTGCAAGACTTCTACACAGATGAGCATGAAATGCTCTTGAGATAAATTAAAATCCTAAATAAATCGAGAATATAAAATTTTCATTGATTAGAAAACTCAATATGGTATAAATGTCGATTCTTCCCAACTAGGTATTGGTTTAGTGCAAACCTAAATTAAAATTCCAGCAGGATTTTTGTTGGTATAACTGTTTTGGTGAAAACTGGCAAGCAGATTCTAAAATGTATCAGCACATTTGAAGGGACAAGAAGAACCAAGTCAACCTTGAAGAATAAAGTTGAAGGATTCAACTCTACCATATGTGCAGACGTTGTACTGATAGGCTGAATAAAATAGTGTGTGACTGGCACAAGGATGGACAAATAGACCAATGAAACAAAACAGAGAATCTGTGGACAGACTCACTCGTATATAGGTAGTTGACTTAGTGCAAAGGTGGCATTGACATGCAGTGAAGGACAGATGGTCTTTTCAACTAATGGGGCTGGGGAAAATTGTATGTAAATGTTGTAAAAAAGGAATCTTGATTCCTTCATCATCAAACACAAAGAAATGGATTCTAGGTGAACTGTGCTGTTCAATACAGTAGCCACTAGGACAAACGCTTACTTAGATTCAGATTTAATTAAAATTAACTGATAAAACTAAATGAATTGAAATAAATTTTACAAATTTAAATTAAATTAATTTATTCAAATAAGATTTAATTAAATGTCAGTTCCTCCATCTCACTGGCCATGTTTTAACTACTCAATAGCCGCTTATTCCGTCATCACAGAAAGTTTACGTTGGACAATGCTATATGTTAGAAAGTCAAAGTTTTGTGGAGAAAGACAAACAGAAAAGGGAAATATTAAAGTGAGGCAGGAGGTGTTGAGAGGAGGATTCGCTACTTAAAATCAAGCAGTGCCTATCTGGGGAAAGAACCTTCCAGGCAGAGGAAACAGCAAGTGCTAAGTCCTGAGAGAGGTGATCTAACCAGCTGTGTTCAGAAAATAGCAACAAATCCAATGTGGCTGGAGGATGGCAAGTAAACAGAGAGTGTAGTAGGGGAGCAGGAGAGAGTCAAGCAGGGCGGGGCCAGGAGGGGAAGAGTCATGGGGTCCTGACAGCAATGTTGTAAGGTCTCTGGTGTTTCCTCTCTCAATGAAATGAGAAGACATTGGAGAGTTTTAAGCAATAGTGGATGCAATCTGACTTCCTTTAAGAGGATCACGATTGTTCCTGTGCTGGGAAATGCCTATCAAGGGGCAGGAGTAGAAAGAAGTTGAGACCATATCTATATAAGATATATATCTGTATGTGTATATATGTATTTGTATATGCGTATCTATAATAGGAGTTAGGAAACATGTTTAGAGACAAGTTCAAGTAAAGCAAGAATCCAGGCAAGAGGTGATGATAGTGGCTTGCTCTGGATAATTGCAATGTAGGTGGGAGGAGGCAGGGAGGTTTTCTCGTTGAATACACATGAGGTGTGAGAGAAGAAAAGTAACCAAAACTACCACCACATTTTTGGCTTAGGCAACTGGAGTGGCTGAGTTCTCATTATTTGAGATGGGGTCCATTAAAGATTTGAGGGGGAAGATCACGAGCTCAGTTTTATACATTTTGAGTTTGAGATGTCTGTTACACATTTAAGTGAGATACTGAGAAGGCAGTTGAATATCAGAGCAAAAGTTCCTTTTTATTAATGTGTAATTCTAAAAACTACAGGATGTTGGTAAAACCTTGGCACCATATATTTGGGAAGTTACTATAGAATGTGTCTTTAGAGATTTTTCACATAACACAGCCAGTTGGCTTCTGTTTGCTCTCACAACCCTTGTGGACACTGCCTATCTTAGTCTGTTCTGGCTGCTATAGCAAAAGGCCACAGACTGGGTAGTTTTTAAGCAATAGAAATTTATTTCTCACAGTTTTAGAAGCTAGGAAGTCCAAGATCATGGCACTGACATAGTCGAGTGAGGTCGCTCTTCTGGGTCGCAGACTTCTTGTATCCTCATGTGATGGAAGGGGCTGTGTGGTCTCTTTTGTAAGAGCACCAGTCCTATTCGTGAGGACTCCACCCTCGTAACCTAATCACCTCCCAAAGGTGCCACCTACTAATACCCTCACCTTTGGAGTTTAGGTGATTCAACATATGAATTTGCGAGGAGGAGCCAACATTCAGAACATAGTACTGTCCCCATATACCAAAGCAACGTAAGACAGCTGGTGGTTTCCACATCTGTCCCCTCAGTGAGGTTCCTCAGTCTGCACAGTTCAGGTTCCCATGCAGCACCCTGCGTCAGGAGGGGCTCACACAGTGGTTGAGGCAGGGCAATAGAGCCAATATTTTAAATGTCTTCCCACTTGATTCTTTTGTGTACCCACATTTGGGAATCTCTGTTGTAGATCCGTGGTTCTCAAATTTTAGAGAACACCCTGCTCTATTACATGAGAATTAAACCTAAGTGTGAAAAGACCTCACAGAGTGAAAAGTAAAACTTTGCAAATGAAAGATAGGAATCCGAGTGCCAGATAACTTTTGATCTTTCCTGTTTGCGTAGCTTGGGTTGTCAGTGAGATTTAACAGGCTGTCACTGCATCCCTGTGCATCCTCTGTTCCCACAAATGCATCCTGAACTGTTCACATGCTGTGTAAAGTGTTGATTCTGTAAATCAGATAACTCCAAGTTAATAAAAGCCTCTAATCTTTAGAGCTTTAAGAAACACACCGCACACATGTACGCGTGCACACACACACACTCACTTCTCATTATCTGTGATAGTATGTTCTGTAAAGTAACCACAGACACTGAGTTAGCAAATATTGGACCACTGCTCCTAGGGGAAGATACAGGAAGATTAGGTTCCTGTGAGCCCCTGGTCACAGCATTCTCATCAGCCGATCAATACATCACTTTGTACTTATTTTTCAGGTGAAAGATGCCTTGTTTAATACATGATGTTGACTCGTTAACATTGAACTCACAACCAGCAGCACTATAGCACACTGGAACGGATTGTATCTAACACATATGTTCCCTTGTATGGCGCCTCACAGCCTTCTTGTGCTTAGGAACACTAGCTAGAACCTCGACACTACAGTTGGAGGCCATTTTAAATGGCAAAATCATCAAGAAAAAGCACGGAAATGCAGAAAACATGACACTAAATAGACCACAAATGGCATACTTGCTCATGGTATTAGAGCATTGCCTTGTCCAGCTTCAGATGGATACCTCTGTATTGGGCAACTCACATGTTTTGCTGCTTTGTTCATGTCTGCAGGTGAACAAGAGATCCTCGAGTATTGATTTGGGGGTTATGAATAATGAGGATCTTCAGATAATGAGGATTGATTATATGCACATACATATATACATATGTTATGTTTATTATGGGTAACAATTCAGTAATTTATAGGCCATATGAGTTTTTTCTTATCCAAATGATAAGGAAATTATCAATTTCACTTTATTGAATGAATTGGTTCATTTCTATTAAATCAACATTTACCCTGTCGTATTACATTGCTAATTAATGTACCTTATTTTAGTTACATAAGTCTCACAACAACTTTAAGAGACTTGAAGTAAATATATATATACAAACACACACCCACACACAGACACACACACACAGAGGTTAAAGGTACTTTAGGAAAATTATCAAAAAATATTGATGAAAAAGGGGCCATTTACAACACTTACAGCCATTTGAAAAACAAGCTGTTGAGGGCAGAGATACAGATAATCCAGTTAGGAGACAGCCAAGTGTCTTCAGAAGCTCAGGAATATTGAAATATATTCAAACAAAAGTGACAGTCCCAGAATGTAACAAACCAGTGAGAAATACATGTTACAGCTTGAAACTTTCCTTATTGATCTGGTTTTGCAAATGAGAAAACCAAGACCTGGGGAGGTTCAGTGAGGCTGGCTGAAGAATGTCATTAGGGGTAGATCAGAACTGAACCTTGGTCTCGTCTCTTCCAGCCCGAAAATTCTTCCACTAGAAAAAGCTACATTCTATCAATGTCTCATTGCTTGTAGCCAATAACATATCCTCCAGTTATACAAACCAAGGAGAACAGTTATGAAAACACGACAAAATGCTGAATCAATAACTTGCAAATGTAACTTAAAAAAAATCTAGTTACTAGTCTAGACTTTATTTCCAACAAATGATTCCATTTTTAAGCTGTAGCTAAAAAATATAAACAAAAAAAAATCTCTTTTGAATACACATTTTCCTAAACTATGTTAAAGGCTGTAAATTCTTTCTAAACAGAGTATTCTAAATAGAATTTTAAAACGTGGAGTCAGGATAATATGAATCCCAGTGGCCGTCCCTATTGAAATGTACGGGGCCTTTTTTCTTCCACACTGAATCCATTGCTTTTTTAAAAAATAATGAAATAGTTTTATGTTCAAGAAGTTTCTCATTATCAAACATTACATTGTAAGGACAGTTGTTTCAGTAAGGAGAAATTGATAAGAACTAGAACAGTATCGTTCAAACTTTTGTGAAAATGATAATTCTATGGCTTAACCTCACTCTTTCCCACTGCGCCACCAAGACTCCTGGATTTGGTTTCACTGACTCTGTAAGTTTCGAGACCAAGGCCTGGGTCTCTGACCTATTAACAAGCTCCCCATGTGATATTGAGATAGGGGTTCCTGAGACCATTCCATGAGAATGCTGGAGAGTATAGGACTTCTACTAACAAAATTATTTTTACTTTAGGATTTCAATAATAAAGGCCTTCTTCATAGCTATGAGAGTTAACTATCATTCAGATGCAGCCTTGTTGACGTCATTTCGCTCCAGGATGCTTGCTGCTCTTTCATCTCCCAGCTTTCCTTAACACAGCACTTCCTACCTGCTCTTACAGTCTTTATCACATCTATCACCCCCAGCTATTAAGCACGGAGGAACACAAGCTTTGCATCTGTGTTGCTTAAACAGCATGTTTTTTCTTTACACTGTTATCACACTAAAAAATAGCAGTCAGCCTAAGATAAATCAAGTTCTTAATTACTCAGTTGCTTTACATACAATTTATATTTTTGGAAATCTCTGCAGGGAGAGACACCGGTAGACCCAAACTGCCTTTCAGGGTTTTTTTAGTGTATTTATTAAATCTCATAGCTTTTATGCCTATTTCAGCTATCTCTTCTTACTCGTTTCCCTGTGTCTCCTTACCTTAACAACTCTCTCTGCATTAGTAAAGGGTAATTTTCAAAAAAATAAAATCACGGCCCTTATACAAATATAAAAATAAAAGCTAAAAAACACACTGTAAAGATTTTGTTTAACATATTATTAATGAGGAAACTGGTAAGATGTTACAGCCAGTTCAAAGGAGAATCCAAAGAACAGACGTATTTGTATATCAGTAATACTGAAATGAAGGTGCAAATAGAAGCAAAACTGGCTTCTTGCGTCGTGGAGGAGGGAAGTCAATCAAACCGCCACCAGGTAGAATTTGCTTGTCTATAGACAGGAATTACTTGTTGTAGGGAAACAACGCCTTGCTTGCTAAGCCAAAAAAAAAAAAAAAAGAAAAAAAATCTGGAAGCTTGGTAGTAAGAGATAGTGACTTTCTCTGGAGAGATTTAAAGGCTTACCTCTCCCAGATGCATTTGCCTACATTTGAAGAGTGAGAAAAACCTAAGGATTGGCCCTCCTTTCCTCAGAAAAGATTTGTTGCATTCCAGAGCCAAAGTTCCTCCATTGGGGGGAGGAGAAGATATGCCAGCCGTTCTCTATAAGCTCCAAGTCTCATAACTTTAGAGTTCTTCTCTTGTGGCACAACTCCAGCATGTGCGGGTGCATCTGGCACTCAATGTGTGGGCCATGGGAAATTGGGGTGTAGAGAATCGATGCTGCTAAGATTCTCTGTGAGCAAATGGTCCCTGATCCAGAGACCTCCTGTGTCTGTTAGTATATATCTATATCTACATGTAGATAGATGTAGATAAGTTGATATAAGTTGTATATGAGGCGAGATAATTTGTTAACTTGCAAGTAGGATAATGTCTCATACCTTTCACAGTTTCAGACTTACCATTATTTTGCAATTCTATCAGTTATCTACAATTTACAGTGCTCTGAAAGAGCTAAAAGGCAATGAAACTCTCAGAGCCACCAAAGAATCAGAATCAGATAACCTGGAAGGTTGTCCTCTAGTCTGAGCAATGCACTGTCTTTATTCATTCGTTTGTTTATTCCCTCATTTCTTTAACTGATGTCGTCTGCATGTTGTGCCAAGCCTCCGTGCTCTGTGCTGGAGATGCTATGGTTAGCAAACGGGAAACTATTACTCTTCTCATAGAGCTTACAGACCAAGGGGAAAGACCAATAAAATAAATCACAAAATATTGAATTACAAATTGGGATGAAGTCTATGTCTTTCACAGTTGTAATTCTAAATGGCTGTTTGTAGAAACATCAGATAACACAATCCTGTCTGAAAGAACAATAAAGAGGCTCTAGGTTAATAGTTTTGAGAGGTTCCTCTGTTAGTAAAGCACGTAATATCTGGAACGTGGCTCCTGGGCATTCATTTCCATGGCTCAGAATCTATCGTCAACTGCTTTCCCCTGGAAATCTAGATTGTCTAATCAGTGTGGCATCTGTTTAACTTCACACTTTGTAGCACTTTTTCATTAGAAGATGAAATCACTTACAGAAACTATCATAATATTGAAATTTTAGAATTTCCAAAGGAAACCTTTCTATGACCTACTCTTTAATGGTTGTCATGCACCATGGTCTTGGATTTCTTACAACACCTTCAAAGACCTTTAGATCATGTGTTAATTGTGACCTTGTGGGTGCTAAAGGATAGGGAAGTCCCTTTCAGTGTGATTGGACCGTGAGGCAAAGAAACAAAGGCTTCAAGCAGCTTGATTGTCCTGTTCTTTTGGTAGCTACTCAGCCAGAGTTGAGCTTCCTCATGCGTGTCATTGATTTACCACAAGAAAAGAGGAATCATTTTGCTGAACAGTAAGAGCAGAGTCCAACAGAGGCTAGGCTAACAGATTTGCCTGCTTAATAATCGGAAACTTGTCATAGCCAAGGTTGAGTTGGCTAAAATTATACAATTGCAGACCTGCTCTATTGCCTCCTATATTCTGCCACTTTATTTTCCAAATTTGGAAATGGAGGTTCAGATTTTACCTGACTTCCTTAGCCAGACCTACCAGATCTGCGGCTCAGATCTGATGGTCTCTATACGGTACGGCTATCTGGCGATCCATAATTAATTTCATTAGCTCATATATCCTGTCCTCTTTAAGGAAAATCATTTGCTGATAAAGCTCTATGGTGAGCTGAAATGCAAGGTGGAAATAAAAGTAACAGCTATTGTTTCATAGAAAAATAATGATCCACACATGGAAACCAATAAGGCTGTCAAAGTTGCCTCCTGCCTCGTTTATTCAGCAGGTCTATCTATTCAAAATTCTGATGACCAGGAGAGGGCTGGGAATGAAATTTCTTATCTTGTTTTGATTGTTGATCCATGTGAATGTATTAACTAAAAAGAGGGGGAAAAATTCTACCTACTGTTTTCCTTCAATTTGGAATATTCCTCTGTAATGCAGAAGAGTTATGCCACTTAACAGCACATATATAGCAGAGTTTTGACAACTTCCAATCTGTTTCCTACCTCTTAAATCAGAGGCCTCTTGATTAATCTGTTCTGGTGCCGGCATATATCACAGTAATATAATATGAAGTCTATTGCTGGGAAGGTTGAAGGATAGATACAATATGTTTATCTTCTGTTATGACATTGTAGGATTTTTATTTCATCTAAATAATTTTGGTAATCAGTATGATGGAGATGTTTACAGACATTCAGGTGCCAATAGTGATAGCACTAGTGAATACTCAAAGATATTTTATTTTTTGTGTTAGTTGAGTTGCTGATGCTGTATCAGATGTGTTCCATTCAAAGGAGTAACTTCCTATTGCCTTGTGTAACTATGCAGATCACATGATAGCAAAATGAATATTTCAAATTTGATTTAAAAAGAAATAGATGTATACTTATAATTAAATATTGTCTGAAGAGAGATACGTACAGGCCATAAAAATCTGACTCTGTTTTGGCTGGTAACATAAATGATTTTTAAGAGTAGAACCGTCATTGCTTACATTATGTTATTTAAAACATTTTGCACATTTGAAGGAGAACTTTCTTTTCACATTGTAACATCTCTGAATTCAGGGTGTGTCAACAATCAGCAATATTTCACAATTATAATAAGCAGCATTTTTTCCCTTTTTTGAGGGAAAAATAAAATGATGTATCTTTTAAAAAGCAGAGTATCAGATTTGATGAAATGTACCACAGATTTTAATAATCAGTTTTCTTAATATTTTTCTCCATAAGTATTTTCTGGCTAAATTATTTGAAAAAGTAAAATAAAATCACTGCAAATGAATGGCAATCATATAAATTTCAGGGAAAAGAATCACTGTGCTATAATTTAAAAATTTTAAGAATCCATTTGTGTTGATTCTGCCTCTCAGAGAGGTTTGATGACTAGAAGAATTTGACTCAGATAAAAGGTGATTTTGATTTTCTTTATTTATTTTAACTTTTGCAGACTAGTGATGGTCTCCTCTCTTTCTTCCCCCATTTCTGCATACAAGAAACTGCGTGGACCATCATACAGCACAATGGCTCTGACTTAACAAGAGTCAGAAATACCAATCCAGACAACCCATATGCTGGGTTTTTCGAGTATACGGCCAGCATGGAGCAACTCCAGGCCACAATTAACCATGCGGAGCACTGTGAACAGGAGCTTACCTACTATTGCAAGAAGTCACGGCTTGTAAATAAGCCAGGTAAGTAAACGGAGGCATCTGTCACGCTGCACATATTGCATGGTGCACTTTACTTAACCAGCTTCTAAGGATTTTAAGTCTGCCAAGGTGGTGGCATCTAGCCGCTGAGGGTGTGTGCTCCCTGTGTATTTCGCAAACATGTCACAGTCTGGAAGTCACAGAGATGTTATTGCCTGAAGAAAAGAACAAGGTCAGTTTACACTGAGGCTTGTTCAAAGCCTTGATTGCCTTCAGAGTCTCTTCCTGGCCTTAATCGGATAACTGTACAGAGAGGGGTTTCATTCTCACACTGGATGAATGCCGTGTTTATTCCCGATAAAGGGCAAGTGACACGTACACTTTGTTTTGTCGTGGAAAAGAGCTCATAAAAATATGACTTACTTTTTTGAAAGGGACTATTCTGTGTGCCGCTTTTTCATGGATTGTTAACAGTTAGCCTCTGGATATAATTGAAAATTAGAACAGGCTGCTAGAAACAGAGTTTGTTCAGTAGCTCAACTAGGATCAGAAGACCATCTTAAGTCTTTCTTTTATTTTACCTTTAATAACCAGTCTGCTCCTAAATTCTGTTTTTGGTTTTGTGTTTTCTTCCTTTAGAATGTCTCATTATGGGAGCATATCTTGGGTCCCACTATTCTGTGTTAGTACGGACTTCAATGACCTAATTCTTGAAGTTACTGCAAGGGCTTTCCAACTGACCTCCAGCTTGCATCTCTCCATGTCTTCTAACCATCCAATATATAATCCAAAATATTAATCTTTATGAAGAAAATTAGCCTTTAAGAAACACTGCTTCCATCATGACACTTTTCTGTTTAAGAAGCTCCGGTGCCTTCCTATCTCCTGTCTGTCCAAAACAGACTCCTCTGTCTGGACACAAAAACTGCATATTCTGGATCCACCTGTTTATGCAACCTTCAGGCCAACACACTGTTTTCTAGCAGCAATATTCCAGCAGGTGTATTTTTCTTTAGAAATGAGAGAAGATTCTAAGACATCTGCACGAGAAAGCCACTTTGTTAGTGTTCATTCCCGTTTGTTGTCTTAAGAGAGGTTGGACTTCCAGATAGAAGGTCGAGAATTTTAAAAGAAACGCTTTTCATGTGTGAATATTTTATGTTGTATGGAGCATGCAGAAAAACTGAACTCTTGGAATGACATTTGGACCTTTTGTTTCCAGTTAAGCCCTTCTCCTGTTTACTCTCCACTCACTTAATACAACCAGATTATTTTCTCCCTCATGCCTGAGTTCCACCCCTCTCCTCTTCCTTTTCCTCCTTCTTCTTTCTCTTTTTCAGAATATTCTTATTCATCCTTTTACCCCTGCAAACCCTTCCCATCTTGCTGGTCTCCCCTTGGATCTTTTCCCCCGGAACCTCAATCCTATCTGTGACTATCAGATAGTTGTAGTGCAAAGAGCATAGGATTTAGAGATGGGGAGAGGTCAAAGTTCAAGCTCCAGGTCTCTCATTGAAGGGATAGAACTTGGACAGATAAGCCTTTCTCAGTCTTTGTTTTCTCTTCTCTGAAATGAGGCCAATCATACCAGCCTCACGGGGGTGTGGTGATGATTGGGTGGTATAACACGTAGAAAGGGGATGATGTGAGATCCTCTCGTTCCCATGTCTCTGGCACATCATGGTTATAGTTAACATACCAGTTTAGTATGCAACTGATTGTTCATTGTTGCTAAATATTGATCTCGGAATCTAAAAAACAGATGAGCAAATATGGAAATACATTCTAAGAGAATGAGAACCACACTTACAGAAGGGTAAGTGAATGTGATGGAACAAAATGAACTGAGTTGCTTAACTAGGAAAGAAAGACAAAAGGAAAGATGATCATCAAAGTCACACATGAGTCAAACTCTAAAAGAACCAGAAAACAAGATCGCCAAGGGGTTGGTGAGCAAGCACCACGCAAAGTAAAGGGGACGACATAGAAAATGAAGGCATCTCCACTTCATGGCCAGTGGTGCCCATGCATCTTTTTGTTAAGGCTCCCCAGGTGTTTCAGGCAGACTTGAGAGCCACTAGAAAAGGAAGTAGTAAACTCTAGAAGGCTGTAGAACAAGGAATGATGATAATTGTTAAATACTCAGATTTTCCTCGGGTCCATGACCCTAGAATTCATGTAGAATGGATTTGAGGTGGAGAAGAGAGAGAACAAATTGGATTTTGACTTCACAATAAGAAGGTGGTGTTAGACAAGTTAAATTTAGTTTCTGGTCTTGAAGATATAGCAGTTTCAAGCAGTAGTGGTGCCATAACTGTGGATGAGTAAAGTGGAACGTATATGAAAATATGTGTGGAATGTATATGAAAATATGTTTTCAGCAAACTGTGGATCTGAGACCCAGCACATTCGAAGGAAGATCAGTGTGAATACTCAAGTCATTTGGGATTTTGTCTATAGCAAGTGGAATGTTCTACCACACTCCTGATATTTTATCATTTTAATTTTTAACTTTAAAAAATTTTTCCTGATTTTCTGAATTCTTTCTTGTACTTATTTAAATTCTTCAAGACACTTCAAAAAGTCTTGAAGGTAACTAAAGGTATTTAGTACCTTTAAAACATTTTGTGGTTTCTATTTTATAGAGAAAATAGGAAATTTAGATGTAAAAATATTATTCAATGTTTAGGAATAATGATTTATTTTCTTTATAATCTATGATCACATAATATTTTGAGCAGTATGTTGAAATATATCTATTAAATGTTTCAAGATGGTTTCACCTTTGGTTGATGAGTTCATCATGCATTTAAAACAAGATGAAAATTCCTGATATTAATGTATTTATGCATAAAATAAGCTCCAAATAACTCCTTGTTTTTTTGGCATGGCATGGACTGGTATGTATAGTAATGCTGGGAGAGAGGTTGTCAGCATTACTAGAGGTCTGATCTAATAGTTATTATGAGCATTGGTATTTGTAAGTAAAGGAGAAATCAGTAGAAGTCCCAGATTTTCAGTAGGGCTCACGGCAACAACTTAAAAGATTTGAAAGGCAACAGAAAAATGATCAAACACGTTTGAAGAGCTGACTGATTGATATCACATTCTTCTCATGCCCTGATTCTCAAATGACTACGATTTTCCCTCTCAACCTATTTTTTACTTCTAAGACAGATTGCCTACATACCTCCCCTAAATGTTCCATCTATTCTTTGCTCCATTTCCTTGGCATCATGTTTAGTTTTAACTCTGAGAAGGAGCTGGTAGCTCGACATTCATCATAGAAAGAAATGCATTTGGCTGAGGGAAACGTAGCTTTTGAATGTAGTATTTGCTTCAGGCATAGAGATCTTTCAGTGTTATTTCTGTAGTCTCAAAATAAATAGCCAAGCCAATAAATGGAAGAAAAAAAGACATACTTGAGATATACAAATATATCTTAAATTACGACAAGGGAGTGCGATGCCATGCCTAATGTTTAATAAACAGCTAATATATTTTTAGCCAATAAATATATTGAGATAAATCAGTGACTTTACATAACATTCCACATGTTTTAATGGGCATTTCCACAATCTCAAATCAGTTTTGTTTCTGATATGTTAATTACTGTGGTTTGTATTTTGATGCCTCCTTTTTCAAAAATTATTTTTAAGGAAATTACATATGTGAATTGCTCTCAATACATTTTTTAGTATCATGCCTGAATTAAATAGGAACTGCTGATTTCTTTTCTACTCAAAGAAAAATATATCAATCATTTAAGCTTAAATAAAATATTTTTTAAAAAGCTTTCTTAAGGAAATGCCATCAATTATAGTGTTTGGAATATCACTACATTAAATCAACGTTTCTGTCTCTTTCTCCTGTTATTCTTTTTAATGATTGGGGATGGAAGGGCATTATTCTTGGATGGATGGCAGTGGGCCATAATGAAGATGTCACATTTCTCACATTTGTCTTTCAGATGGAACCCCTCTGAGCTGGTGGGTTGGAAGGACCAATGAAACACAAACTTATTGGGGAGGTTCTTTGCCTGATCCTCAAAAATGTACTTGTGGATTAGAGGGGCACTGCATTGATTCTCAGTATTACTGCAACTGTGATGCTGACCGGAACGAATGGTGATTTCCAGATGATTTCCTTATGCAAAATAGTTTATTTTTTTTAATGAATCACTCAAAACGTATATAGCTAGGCAAATACTGAACAGATGAGTACAGTGGAGAATTTAGATAAAAGTATGTTTTGATGAAATATGTTATAATCAATTTGAATCTTAAATGTTAAGACCAATGTCTTTTTATTTAAATTTTTTTGTGATGGACCATGAATCATGTACGTTTTATTTTTGTAATATGATGAAATAGAGGCATCTGTTTCATGTTTCCTCTTCATTGTAAGCCAATTATCATTCTCTTTAAAATGAAGTGCAATTAAGAATTCTGTTATTCTCAAAATATATTTATAGCCTCTAACTACTAAAACACATTTCTTCAATAACCTGCCTATAAAATCTTTAAAGATGGAAACATAGAATTTCCCACAGTTATTTGAACATGTAGCTCTTTTATTTTCTTAAAGGACAAATCACACCACAAAGAACTAATGGTCTGTTTATCGTATTTTAAAAAAGGAAATCTATAACATTTAGGGATTTGAAATGAGCTTGAATTATTCTTCTAGGTAGAAGAGAAGTCTTATGCATATGTTTTCTTTTGAAAAATTAAGAAAGATATTTATTATATTGAGACTAGAGTTGGAATGTACATTGATTTTATTTATTTATGAAGTGGAAATATTTTTAAATTTTCATATTCATGTTTCAACATACCATATATATCTCTTACATCATTAAGCAACTGGATCTGTACATAAAAATAATTTTTTAAAATATTAATAGTCCATCTAGATGTAAATATGATTGATTTGGTTACAGAATGTACATTAATTCCAGTCATCAGTTTGCTGTTAATTGAGCTCACATTTTGAATTGTATGATATTCCATTTATTTATTTGGCAAACATCAAGACTATGCTGTATCAAAAGACAGATTCTTTTAGAATATCCTAGAAGGAGGCTTCTATATGGAGTCATAACTATACTTTTAGTGTTACATGTTTGATGTGAAGAATATTGTCTCTCTTACTCAGACTCCAATTTTTCAAAATTTCTACTCCCTTTGGAAGGCACTCTTTCTCACTGCCTTCACAGAAAATGTCTACACAGTAATATTATATTTTAAAAAGTGACTAAAATGTTAATAGCAATGCTTAACAGACAAAAATACCTAAACTAATCACCAATAACTCTCCAGTGTCTCCATTACATATTATTAATCAAAAATAACTTTTAAAAATAAGATTTTGAAATTTCTTATATTAAATTCTACTTACGGTGCAGCAGCTTGCATAGAGCTGGCCTTCCTCAGATAACATTTATAATCCCAGAAAATACATTTAGAAAAACATCTACTTGAAGTAAGTGGAGAACAGCCAAATGTAGACAAAAACTACCAGAGTTGGTGGCCTTTCACCCGTGAAAGAAGGGAACCCAAGTGGGTGATATATGTTTATATGCCTTTTTCCTTAAGGGTACTCACCAGACCACATGTTGCAGAGTAACTAAAACTGAAAGAAAATACTACATTGTTTTTCGGCTTGAGGTACAGAGGACAGAGTTTGGGGCTGCCAGAGTAACTGGAAATTGAGGGGGGAGTGGAGGTCTCAGACAGAAGAAAAACACTTGGGGTGAATCCACTATATCAACTCCCCTCTGATCCTCAGTGGAGCCCTGAACTGCATGTGCACAGGGGAGATTTCTAGGAACCAAGCAGAGAGATACAGCTGGGAAACTGAACAAGTCATACAGAGATTTCAGAGGCTGCTACCAAAGGAGAGACAGAATTTGGAGTTTAGGTCTTACTAATTGAGATGGGCTTTGTGAAACTCTCAGCTTCCCTTAGAAATGACAGAAGGTCCCTGTCTTTACAGCAAAGATTATGTCCCAGAAATGAATATGATTGGAAACTAAGAGCGAGACTGACACAGGCCCACCTAAGGAATTGTGAAACCAGGCCTCCACAGTTTATGGTGATAAGGTCGTGATTTAACTGCCTGCGAAAGCAAAAACAGTCTTCAGAAAACAGTAACAGAATCCAGAGTATCTACGATGTGTCACCCATAATATTCAGAACATCATAACAGTTATTACATATTCCAAAAAAGAGCAAACTCTGACGCAAAGTCAAGAAAATAAAAGCAGTTATTACAAGTGACCCTGGGACACTGGTGTTTGATTAGCACACACAAATTTTAAAGCAACTGTTATAAACATGCCTACAGGTTTAAAGGTAAAAATAATCACAAGTGAACAGGGGGTATTCTAAGCAGATAGTTGAGAACTACATGAAAGAAGCAATTGTAAATTTTAGAATAGGAGAGTACAACATCTGAAGTGAAAAAGTCACTGCATGGACTGGACCTCATAGGAAATAGCAGAAGAAGTCTTCAATGAACCTGGAGATGGCTTATCAGAAATCATTCAAGCTGAAGAACAAAGGAGAGAAGAAAAGGATGGAAGGAAAAATTAACAGAACCTTTGCGGATTGTGGGAACATATCAATGATTTAACAGGCAAGAAATTGGAGTCTCTGAAGGACAGGAAATAAAATGAGGCAAAAAGAAAAAAATTGATGAAACAACGGCTGAAAATTTCTCAAATTTGTTTAATAGACAAGTCTCCAAAATGGCCCCTGATAATAACTGCGTGTTATGGACAACATTGTGTAATTTCCTCCCCTTGAGGGTTGCCTGGACCTTGTGATTTGCTTCTAATGAATAGAATATGGTAAAGATGATGTTATCACTTCCAGATTAGGTTACAAAAGATTGTGACTTCTGACTTGTTTGCAACTCTCTCTCTAACTCTTCTAGCTTTCTTGTTTTGATAAAGCAAACTACCATGTTTTGAGCTGTCCTGGGAAAACGGCCATGTGGCAAGGAATTGAGGGTGACCTTTATCCAGCAGCCAGTGAATAACTGAGGCCCTCAGTGCAACAACTAACAAAGAACAGAATACGGCCAACAACCACAGGAGTGAGTTTGGAAGCAGATCCTTCCCCAGCCAAGTACTGAGATGGCTGCAGTCCTTGCCAAATTTTGATTGTAGCCTTGGGAGAGGCCGTAAAGCGGAGGATCCCATGAAGCTGTGCCCAGATTCCTGACACGTCAGAACTGTAGATCATAAATATTGTTTCAAGTCACTAAGTTTTGGGGTAATAACTAATAGAACTTCAGTGTGCAGATTTCAGATACTCAGAGGATCTCAAGCAGAATAAAAACAGAGAAAAGCGCACCTTTCTTATTGTTCAAATTGCTAAAAACCAAAGATAAGGATAAATGTTTTGAAAGCAGCCAGGCTGGGTGGATTTGGTGGAACATGTTTCATACAGGGGAACAGGAACACTCGATGAAGGCTGACCTCTCATTGGAAGCACAGGTCAAAGACAATGGAAAGATATCTTTCATATGCTGAAAGAGAAAGCAATGTCAGTCTAGAATTCTATATTGAACAAAAATATACTTCAAAAATGAAGGTGAAATAAAATTCTTTTCAGCTTAAACAAATGTGAGAGAATTTGTTGCCAACAGAACTGCACCATAAGAAATACTAACAGAAATTCTTCAGGCTAAGGAGAAATAATACCAGATGAAAACTCAGATCTTCAGAAGGAATGAAGAGCGCTGGAAATCATGAATATGCTAGTAAATATAAAAGCCAGTGTTTAAATTCTTTTCTTAATTTAAAAATAAATTAAAATTCACTGTTTAATTGTACTATAAAGTTTATAACATCTAGATTTAAAATATATTACAACAATAGAACAAAGAACAGGTGTGTGTTGGGGGAGGTTTAAAAAATTATCCTGAGTAGGCTTCTGACATTTTATATTAAGTAATAAAACATAAAATCTAAATAGACTGTGATGAATTAAGGATGCATTTTGCAATTCATAAAGCAACCATTAGAATACAATAAACAGAAATATAACTAAAAGGTAAATAAAAAAATAAAATTGAACTTAAAACATATGGAGAAAACCAAGAGGAGGCAGGAAAAGGAAAGCAGAAATACAAGAAACCCTTTGGGGAGAAAATAGGAAATACCAAAATGGTAGATCTAAAAACACAGTATTGATCATTACACTAAATGGTAGTGGATTAACCATTCCATTTAAAAGGTAGAAAATGACCAACTGGATTTAAAAATGACCAACCATATACTGTCCACAAGAGACATTAAAATGCTGCCATATTTTTATATGCTCAGATGAGCAATTTTTTTTTTTGAGGAAGATTAACCCTGATCTAACATCTGCTGCCAATCCTCCTTTTTTTGCTGAGGAAGACTGGCCCTGAGCTAACGTCTGTGCCCATCTTTCTCTATTTCATGTGGGACGCCTGCCACAGCTTGGCTTGACAGGCAGTGTGTAGGTCCGAACCTGGGATCCGAACCAGTGAACCCCCGGGCCACAAAAGTGGAATGTGCAAACTTAACCGCTGAGCCACTGGGCTGGCCCCAGATGAGTAATTTGATCCTTACTCCTTTGTGTGTGCAAATATAGCTCGGAACATCTTGGGTTTGAAATGCAATAAAGACTATTGTTTATTTTATAATTATATTAATCAGAGTAATTTTAAGAATTTGTTGTTACTGTTTTTTAGGACCAATGACACTGGATTCCTTTCTTATAAAGAACATCTGCCAGTAACTAAGATAGTGATTACAGACACAGGCCGACCGCATTCTGAAGCAGCTTATAAACTGGGGCCTCTACTCTGCCGGGGAGACAGTAAGTGGTAGCAATGTGTTGTATACATGTCTGAGGAAAGTGCTGTCACTTAAGAATCATGTTTCTATTATGTAATAATTAATCAGACTTCTATTGTGAAAACTCATAAGCAATGCCTGAAATAGTTCTTTTAGTCAGTGCACAAATCAAGTACCTATATGTGATTAACGCTGTGGTGGGAAACAGTGTTACAATTCTGTGAGAAAGAAACCACTAAGCATCTCGATTGGATTGGTTCATAAATACATTCCAGCATTTCTAAATTTCTACATGCCATTATCCATACCGGAAGGACTCAATGTTAATGTATCTTAGTTTCCTACTCTTGAGCCTGGGGTGAAATTAAAACATCAATAGAATCAAATGTCAGTTTAATCAAATGTATTTCAACTTTTAATCTTACTTTTTTTTCAGCTTGCGTATGTGTGTTTACTCTAAATCAATGAGACATGCTGTTTTGTATATTCAATGTATTAACACTGTAAACTAGAAATTTAAAATTCCAATATAGTTTCATAGAAAATATGTATTTTCAGCAGGGAATGAAATGAGCATATGTATCCATTCAGAACCTCTGTGAAATCGGTTAGGTTAGAGACTGACGTGTTAATCATTTATACTTTTAGTTATTTCCAGAACTTAAAAATGGAAATAGAAGGAATATTTATTTACATTAAAAATATACCCTAAAATAAAATTTTATTCTAGGGGCTCAACAGAGGAAGAGATGATCTGACAATGCAGTGGATTTATGGAAATACATAGCAGAAGTTGCTTTGTTAAAAAGCAAAGATGATACTGGCCTATAAAAATTTATACGTACGTTGTAAAAAACTGTCTGCCGTTATACCCACCATCCCCAATCTTTATCATCTCGACTTCCTGTTCTGCCAGTAGGCCTTACAAGCTCATGAAGATGACATAGGATATTTCATAGAGAGAAAAATTATGGGCAAAGAGATGAGGTTGTAAACTCAGGATGCATCCAGGGGAGTGCAACGATTTTGTGTGACTGTAGAGAAATTGTTCTGTACGTCACATGCACTTTTCACTGCTGGTCTGATCTTAACCCTTCAGGGAGCCAGGCTGGCTTCCTCCAACCCCCTTATTCCATTTGCCATAATCTCTGGGGGACTGGTCTGCCTTGCCTGAGGTCACTACCAACTCTATCCCTTAGAGTTTCTTTCCTGCAAAGTATCCTACATTGCACAAGACAGCTCTCTATAAGAAAGGATTGTCTGGTCCAAAATGTCAATAGTGTTGAGGCTGAGAAGCTAGAGCATTAAACTTTGTGACTGTGGGGACGCAGGAGGAGGGGAACAACACCAGGAATAAGAAGTTACAAATAGTTTGAGTATCTAAAGACCTGCTAATTAATCTCTGACATTTTAATGAAACAGTCGATGAGATCTTTCCTTGGCCTTCTTGTCTCCTCCATCTATTTTAGGGTTGAGGATTATCCTAACATGAGGTCATGGGACAGTTTTCTACACAAGGGGCTCTTTTGTATTTTCTGAGTCAGAAGAGCAATGGCTGCAGAACAATGAATGTTCCCTTTTCTCTGTGTGGGAAATGTGCAATACCCTAGGCACATTTCTTTTTTTCCTTTCCAAGTAAGATAGACTGGGTAGATACGGGGATTCTAGATATGGGATCATGCACAATGGGGCTTATAAGCAGAGGAAAGGTATGTGGACATTATCTGAAGGCATTAGGACTGGAACATTGAATAATTTAAGGCTGAGAAATCGCTTTATCTTCATGATCCAACTGCAAGTGTCAAGACCAGTTATAAATTTACAGACCAGCAAAGTGACCTTTGATGTAGAACAAGGACAAATGCTGAGGGCTTGAACTAGGCCATAGTTGGCATGGGGCGTTAAGAAGGGGCTCAACTAGAGACATCAATTCAGTGTGATTTAGACGGGGAGTGAGGTGACAGTGTGAGGATGGGCTCCAGCTTTCTGATTTGAATAAAGCTGCTAGTACCACTTGCTGAGACAATAAGGATGCTAGCACCATTCATCAGGACAAGGAATTTTTAGATTTTCTTGGCACATAAAAATGGAAAGATAAGAACAAAAAACATATTTTGGTTTTATCACACAAAATAGAGACGTTGAAAATTTTGTATTTAGCCATATTTTTCTACGAAAGAAGACAAGCTTTGAGAAAGCAGGGCAAATAAACAAAAATGAGTGTGAGACGTGCTAGTACCAGACATGAGCTTCCCTCTAATTAATTAACGTTGTTTTTTCAAGTCCATCTATCATTTAAAAAAAATATCTAGGTGTGTCTGAAATTCTGTGTTGCTGCTGCTATTATTGCTTGATGTCAGAAATCATGGAAAACATCATTAGGTGTTTTACCTAAAACGCTGAAGATATGAATGATAAAGTTGTGTTTAAAGTTGTGCTGCAAACTTAGCAAAACTTAGTAAATATTGTTGTCTTGATTAATTTGTGAATATGGAAATAAATTTTTTGAAAAGATATGTGAAAACTAAATAGTAGAATTCAACATCTTATTTATGATGAAACCTAAGCAAACTACGAACTAAAGAGATCTTTCTCAATGTTTTAATAGGTATCTATGAAAATATGACAACTAAAATGATACTGAATAGCCAAAGACTTACATGCTTTCCCTCTGAGATTAGGATTAAGACAAGGATGTCTACTATGACCTCTCCTATTCGGGATCATACTGGTAGTCCTAGCATATGTAATAAGTCAAGAAAAGGAATTCAAGGGATATAGGTCAGAAAGGCAGAAAATATCTCTATTTACAGATGACATCGTTTTCCAGGTAGAAAATCCTTAAGAATTTATTAAAAAAAAATGTTTAGCAAGGTCATAGTATGCAAGGTCAATATATAAAAATTAATTATATTTCATATGCTCATAATGAAAAACTGTAAATTGAAATTTTAAAAGTACCTTTTACAATAGTACCAAAAATATGAAATACTTTGGTATAAATATAACAAAATTACAAAACACTGATGAGAAATAATTAAAGAAGAACGAAATAAAAAACTCTGATTCTGCATTCAAAGACTTGATGTTGTTAAGATGTCAGTTTTCCCCAATTGGTACACAGAATGAATACATACCAATCAAAACCCAGGAGGTTTTTTTTAATAGAAATTGGCAAACTTATTCTAAAATGTATATGGAAAAGCAAAGAGCCTAGAATAGTTAAAACCTTTGAAAAATAAAAAAAAAGTTGGAGACTTACACTGCCTGATTTTAAGACATTTCAAAACTATGGAATTCAAAACAGTATAATATTGACACAGAGACAGACAAATAGATTAATGCAATAGAGTTGAAAGCCCAGAAATAGGTTCACATATATATGGTCAATTGATTTTGGACAAAGCTACCAATACAAGTCAGTGGAGAAAGGATAATCCTTTTCAACAAACAGTGCTGGAGTATAATTAGAATCCATTTGCAAAAAAAGAGAAGAATCTCAACCCATAATTCAAACTACATACAAAAATTAACTCAAGATTGATCACAGACTTAAATGTAAACCCACGAACTATAAAACTTCTCTAAGAAAATATAGTAGAAAATCTTAGTGTTAGGCATAGAGTTCTTGGATATAACACCAAAAGCATGATCCATAAATTAAAAAAATAAATAAATTGGATTTTACCGAAAATAGAAACTTTTGCTTTTAAAATGACACTGTTAGGAAAATAGAAAAGTCACAAAGTGAGAGAAAATATGTGCAAAATACATTTCTGATAAAAGCTAGTATTCAGAATATATAAAGAGCTCTCTCACAGTGCAATCATTAAAAAAATTCAAATTAACAAATGGGCAAAAGATTTGCACATACGTTTCATCAGAGAAAATATACAGATTTCAAATAAGCACATAAAAGATGCACAACACATTAGTCATTAGGGAAATGCAAAATAACACAGTGAGATACCAACATACAACTGTCAGAGTGGCTAAAATTATAAAATAAAAACCAAAATAAAACAAAAAAACCTCTGACAATACCAAATGCTGAGGCTGCAGAGCAACTGGAACTTTCATAAATTGCTGGTGCAAATGCAAAATGGTATGGCCAGTTTGGCAGTTTTTTATAAAGTTAAACACACATTTACCATATGACCCAACAATCTAAATCCTGGGTATTTACTAAGAGAAATGAAATACCTGTATGCAAAGATTTATATTGGCTTTATTCATAGTTCCTAAAACTGGAAACCACCCAGATGCCCATCGACTACTGAATGCATAAATTTTCCATCTTATGGTGGTGTATCCACACTATATGGTGGAATACCAATAAACAATAAAAAGAAATGGAATACTGATACGTGCAACACATGGATGAATCTCAGATGCATTACGCTAAGTGAAAGAAGCTTGACTTAAAAGGCCACAGGCTGGATGATTCACTTTCTGAGATATTCTGCAAAAGGGAAAACCATAGGAACAGAAAAAGGATCTCTATTGCCAATGGCTTCAAGGCGAGAGGAATTTTACAAAGAGACACAGCTGAAGAAAGTGTTCTATATCTTGAGTGTCGTGGTGGCTTTGTGGCTTTATGTGTTTGTCAAAATTCGTAGAGCTATACACACAAAAAAGGCTAGTTTTACTACATTTAAATTACCCTTCAACACATCTGACTTAGAAAACCCCCCAAAACTCAATGATAGTATGAATAGTTATTTATGGTTCCTTAATTTTTTTAAGACTTCTTTTTAGAGCAGTTTTAGATTTACAACGACGTCCAGAGGAAAGCACAGAGATTTCTCATATACCCCCTGCCCCTCCACATGCATAGCCTCCCCCTCTATCAACATTACTCACTAGGATGGTACTTTTTTTTAACCAAGGATGGTAATTGCTTAATTTTAAAATTGGGTCATTAAAAAAATACCAGATGAAAACTCATAAAACAGTAAAAATTTTAGTAACATGGGTATTCTCCAGGACACTCCTAGAATCCTACTGAATATATTTCTGATT